AGTGAAACAGCATACGTCAAGGGTGTAAAAAATGGCTCCAAAATAAGAAGAAATATCTGAAAACCAATAAAAGGATTTGGTTCATCAAAACCAAATTGTTTACAAATTTCAGGGTTAAATATAACTCCTTTTGCGCCAAAAGAAATACAAAAGAGCTGTGCAACACCAATACCAAGCATAATATGAGAGTGACTATATTTCCAATGTCCAAGTTCATGACAGAGGACAGAAAGGAGAGCATCATCATCACCTTCCATTTGCTTGATTAATGTATCATAGAGAACAATTCTTTTGTTTTTCCAGAATCCATATACATATGCATTGCTATGACTTGACCGCCGTGAACCATCCACTTCATACACTTTATTTAGTGGAAAATTATGCAGTTTTGCCAGTTTGGAAATTTTCACATACAAGTTTGAATCTTCTGGTATAGGTGTATATTTATTGAATAATGGTTGAATAAGTGTTGGAAACACAAATGTAAAAGAAGTCAGAATACTTGTTGCAAAGAAGAAAAAGTACAAGGGAAACTTTTCACCAAATCGATTCGCAATTTCAAGAACTAAAGCTGTCATAATAGGATGTAAAAGAAATACCCGAAGTAAAAGCATTTTAATCTCATCCTTTACAAACTCTCCAATAGTCATTTTGTTAAATCCATGTTTTTGCTCAATAACGAATTGGCTATAATAACTGAAGGGAATTTCTATTAAGGTGGAGATTAAATCCCACGCAATAGAATACGTACAACAGTGTTTAAAAGATCCTGCAGTAACAGGAGCTGACTTTGCTACCCATTTATATATTTTTGAGGGAAGTTTCGTCACCATAACCAGATTATTGATTATAATATCTTTGGCATGAGTTACAATACCCCAAAAAGTTTTCTCTCTACTGTACGATTGGCTCGCAAGAAATTCCTCTTCATTAATAGAGTCAGCAAACTGTGAGGGTATTTTGGTGGAAAAATATGTTTTCCATTCGCGGTACTGAAGATACAATTCCCATAAACCCACCACATTTACAGCAACTAATGTGGTTGCATAAAACGGTGTACGGGGTGCGCGGTACATTTTTTCCTAACCTATCTACATCAGAAAAAAAAAAAGAAAAAAAGAAAAAAGCAGACGACTGTAATGACCAATAGCAACAATTAATATCAATAGAAGAAGAATATGAAAAAAAAATAATAAACCCTTTTTTTTTTATGGGTTAGGATATTATCGTTATTATCGGTCCATCCATTAGATAACCGAAGATATAATAATAATAATAAACAAGAATAATTATGTTAGATTTTTTTCCTTTATTACTATCAAGCGGTCGTAAACACCAAGAACAAATACAACCAAAAAAAAAAAAAAAAAACAAAAAATTGCACCTCTAACTGATTCCTGAAATTCCCACAGCGGTACCCATAGCAGCGCTAATAAATCCAAGAGATAACATGGCAAATGCCATGAATAACTCTTGATTTGAAGCTGTACAAATTCCTAGTGTATGCATTCGAAGACGAAAAGCCGCAGGATATATAAAGCATAAGGTACTACTACAAAGACCTCCCAGTAAAGCGATAATAAAAACAAGTCCAGGGGCTTTTAACGCTAATAAAACACTTAAAACCGAAAGTATTATACTTGCAATCATATTATCTTTAAATGATATAAGAGCATGAAAACTTTCTCGACTTGCATTACTATATCCATAAAGAAGAATAAAAATAGCATCTCTACAAGGAAATAAAACAAGGACATACGCTGTTATAACTGTAATGGAATACATAACACCACCCACAGCGAATATCTTATCACGAATAGGATCATAATTAGTAAGTATATTACCGTGAACATGACTGGTATGAGATAAATAACCAAAAAGACCTACCATACCATAAATTAAACCAGTAATAAATATACTAAGTGTCGCTACTTTTGCCATACATTTACGAGAATTATCAGCAATACTAGCATAAATTTGAAAAACAAGCGTTTGACAATCAAATGAAAACATTAATATAGGTAAAGCCAATATTGTTCGGTTCGATAAGGAAATATACTTTATAGAAGAATTATCAGGTGCTGAATCAATGTCAATTGGAAAAAAGTATCGGTAAACAATAACTCCTGAAACGACAAAGGTTGCGGTTATTGCTAATATAGAAACAAAACGCAAAGAAGATACAGCTGGGATACATGAAAGAGGCAACATAACAAACATCCAAATAGCAACCATAACTCGTGTGGGATTAGAAAGAAGTGTAAAATATTCACTTACTATCGGCATCATTGGACTAAATATTTCCCCAATAACAACAATATATCCCGCTGCTACACCAACATTATACACAATAAGCATCCATCGAGCAATTTCTTCAAAAGTACGACCCAACAAGGCTCCAGATATTTCTTCATACGATCGTAATTGTAATGTTTCAATACATATAACAAGATAATCAATTGAAATGACGGTAAATATCCCAACTACTATCATTAGTAGTACCACAAGAAGAATTCCACAATCATCAAGTGTTGAAGGTATTGCAAGAATTCCTGCACCAATCGTTGTGACTGAAAGACTCAGCGCAGCTCCCAATAAACCCTTCCTACTAAAAATATGCTTCATTTATTATTATTATTATTATTATTATTATTATTAGTATTATTATTACTCTTTTCAACTTTGCCAGTACCACCACCACTACATCCAGAAGAAAAGGGAGAGAAAAAACAACAACAACATTCACAAGACAAAACAGAAAAAAAAATACAAGAAACAGAAACATTATATATATATATATATATCAATATATCCTCCAACATTTCTTTGAGTCAATCGGAATCCCTTTGGGTTGATTTTCTTCGAACCGATCAATATTTCCTCTTCTTCCTTCCTTTTTCTCCTATTGATACAGTCGAACCCCTACATATGTATCTCTTTTTTTCTTTTTTTTGGTAAGATTCCAAGAACACATTTTTACATAAAAGAGTGTGTTCTCTGTTTCTTTTTTTTTTTCTTTCTTTTTCTTTTCCAATTGTTTTTTTTTTTTGTTTCTTTCAATTTCACATCATAGGTTACATCGCTTGTCTCATTTTCCTTGTCATCGCTGCGACCTGAGGTGAGGTATCTGGATGACTGTCCACACGGTAGCCTTGAAATCTTGCGAACAAGTCGGCCCCGTGATCCACCAATGCCTTCACAAGGGTTGTATCCTCAAGGGCCATAAACATTGGTGGACGACCATCACTTTTTCGAGGTTCATTCGGATCTGCCCCACATTCAAGTAAACAAATAGCAGACTTTACCTTTTCAACTGAACAGGCATACTGAAGTGGTGTCATTCCACATTTAATTTCTTTAGATAAATCAATTTTTCCACTTGTAACAAGTTCCGTGATGGTTTCCACATCTTCGGTATCAAGGGCAATTTCCATTTCTTCTTCAGCCATAGTTAATGGAGAGTCATCAGCTGCTTTGTTTAGTTCCACAGAGCGATGAAACCATTTACCAGATAATTTCTCATCCTCATCCAGGTCCGTTTCACTGTCACTATCCCGACCCTGTGCACGACGTCTTTCACGCTTTAGCTCCTCAATTTCTCGATACTTCGCTTCAGAAGGGAGTTTAAGAGACCATTTAGCGGCATTCTCGTCTATTTTACGAGCAATAATGGAATTCTTTATTATAAGAGGGGGAAATGGTGCTCCCACATTTACTTCCACATCAAACGCCCGATCAACACAAAATATACACCGAAAAAATTCTCGTCGAGGATATTTTTTCGGTTCTGGTTTAAGAAGAAAAACCATAAGTGCTATATCTCGAAATAGATGTTGTTCCACCTGTTCACAATGGGTAATAAAAACCCAATCACCATTTTTAGTACCCACATCAATGTAATCCATGGCATTTTGAACACTTCTCATAACGGCGAGATCAAAATGCCAAACAGCAGATTGGGTCTCTTTTGCAATTTTACATAATGATAGGAAAGGATCACCGTCCTCGTAAAATAAAATAACGGGAGTACGGCAGTCCGCATTCTTCATGGCCCGCCGCACATGTTCCAGCGGAACGTAATCGGGAGGAACCTCCACCACACCACCTTGAACCATCGAATGGATCAGAGATAGCTTTCACTTTTACCAAAGAGAGAGAGAAAGAGAAAGAGAAAGAGAAAAGATAGATTAAATGAAACAAATAAATAAGTATACATGAGTAAATAAAATAAACAAACAGACACATAAAGAAAAAAGAAAAAAACAACAACAACAACAACAACAAAGTAAGACAAGAGAAATAGCTCACGTAATACACAAAAATAAAATAAAACAAAACAAAAAAAGAAGAAAATCACACACATAAATAGTTCCGTCTAAACAAATAATTAAAAACACAAAAACAAAACAAAGTACTGAAAATAGGTTTACAATGATGTACACAGACCTATCTTCTTTGATCTCAATTCATTGATATTTTTTGCACCACACGCAAACATGGCAACAATAAATTCCTTCTTAAACCTTTGAATGACCTTACGCACCTCTTCAGGACTTTCTAGGGCAGCTTTAAGAAAAGGCATAGCCGCCGTTGTACACTCTGCCCCCATAATAAGCGCCTTTGCCATATCAAGACCATTACGAATACCCCCACCCGCTATTAAATGTAATTCCCCTTCTTTAGTGAGAGAAACACATTCCTGTAGACATTGGTCTGTAGTGACCCCAACATCACGGAAAATGTAACCTATATTTTCCTCCTCATTCACAGTTGGTTGACGTCTTCCCTCAATCCATGCCCATGATGTTCCTCCACAACCAGAAACATCTATATATTTTACTCCCAGTTTTTTTAATGCAATAACACTTTCACGATCAATTCCATGTCCAACTCCTTTAATAATGACAGGAACTTTAATTTCTGGCAAAAGGGATTCCAACTTTACAAGTAAGGATTCAAAATTTGTATCACCCTCAGGTTGACAGGCTTCTTGTGTATGATTGAGATGAATAAAAAGACCATCAGCATTTACACATCGTATTAAATTGTTTACTTCCTTTGCTCCAAAACCATAATTTAATTGCACAAGACCAATATTAGCAAACATAGGAACAGAAGGACAATACTTCTTTACATCAAATGTATAAACAGCTGTGGCATATCGATTTACAATTCTCATACTACCAACTCCAAAAGGGATTCCTTCTGCTTCACAAGCCTTTGCCAAATTTTCATTGATAATGCGTCCATACTCTTCACCACCAGTCATTGATGATATTATCAAAGGAAATGAAAGAGTCCAACCCATAAAATTACAACGTGTATCAATCTTTGCCATATCAATTTCTGGAAGAGCAGTGTATGGAATCCTGTACCTACTCCATATAGATGGACCATTCTTGTACGGCTCAACATTTTTATTAATGCAAATGTCTATATGATCTTTTTTGCGCCGCCTCACTGCAGCTTCCTTATCATGTATATTCGTAACAGTCATTTATATAATAATAATTCTTTAAACTAAGAATATCAAAACATTCATAAAAAAAAAAGAAAAAAAAAGATTGAAAAATAAAGGTATATAAAAAGTAACAATGAAGGCAAATACGTTCACATAAAAAAAAAGGGTACAACACATCAATTCTACGAAATACGCGAGCACACGAGGGATCCCAATAATAAATGGTGAATTACTCAGAATAACAACAAGAACCACCACAACCACCACCACTATCATCATCATCAATAACAACAGGGATGAGAAGGATAAAAAAAAAAAAACAAAGAAGATTTTCTGTAATTTAGTATATATATATATATATATATATATACGCGTAATGTATGTGTGTATATGGTTCCCTTTAGTCAGCATTATTAAGACGAGCATCGTGTCGAGTTCCAAGATAGGAGACATAATCGTCAACGCATTTAAACAGAAGGGTAGCATCTACAGCGACTACACCTGCATCCCCACGCACATCTCCCCCTTTCTTATCATGATGTCGCTTTGCTGTGTCACGTTGAATTTCATGCTGGAAAGAAAAACTCTCTGGTGTGGAAAACTTTATCATTTCAAAAAATTTCTTAAGAGCATCCTCTGCCTCTTCATATGATCCATCTAACCAGAAAACTTGGGTCTCTTTTGTCTCTTCACTCTGCCTGGTATCCTCAACTGGAGTAAATCCAAGACATGCCATGATAAAGCGCATGGACACCATACCCCGTATACAACTCAATAATTCTCTCAACCACTTTAGACGACATTTTTGTAAATAAATCTTTAGTAGTAAATGCATTCCATGAGGAAGAGTCATAAGTAAACGACATATGGTAAAACAATCTCCCTCTTCACATGCCGTACACAGTCTAAGGGTTCGACATACATCACTTTTTTTTACTCGTGCTGAAGCATTTTTTTGAGTTTTTCTGTTTGTGTAACTGATTAACTCTGTTGACAATGCATCATATTGTCCGCCTAAACAAAGATAGACAAGGCGATAGCAAAAAAAATCTGATACCGATTTTCTTGTGGTATCAGGGAGACCTTCGTATAACTTCTTTAAGGAAGCTTGACATTGATTAAATTCTCCAATATCTCCAAGTTCTAAACATATAAGGGCATGTTTTTCATAAACATCAACAGCAAATTCATCAACAATATTTTGTACACGAAGGTCTTGTCTCATCCCTTTTAATTGTTCATGTAAATATCTTGCAGAAGCAAGTAAACCTTCTTGTTTTTCTTTTGCATTAGCCTTTGCAAGAACAAATGAAAGAGCTTTTATAAGAACTTCTCGAGGACGAATATCTTCTGCTGTGGGTTCATATCTTGAATACATTCGTTCTAACTCTTTTGACTTTCCAACAAATGAAGCCGTTGATGCGGATTGCGTATTACAAGATACGAGATCTTTGAAAAAATCACATGTACGTGAGGATCCTACTGGGAGTGAGGATGATTCCATACTATTATAATCCTCTCGATGGGAATTAGTTTCTGTACGACGTGCTTTGCGCGATTTTTCGGCTTCATGAGAATGTCTTGGAGCCTTTGTAGAGAGTGAAGAATTTGTTAATGATTCTGTTGGTTTTGTTAACACTATTTGTTTTTGGGAAGCTCCGTTTTGTTGTTGTTGTTGTTGCTCTTGCCGTCGTTGTTGTTGTTCTTGCAGCTCTTGTTGTTGTTGTTGCAGCTCCATCTGTCTGCGATAGGCGTACTGCAGTTCTTGAGCAACCCGAATGACTTCTATGAAAGTGACCAGATCATACCTTCTTCTACCCGCAGCAACTTCAGCATCCACAACACCAAACGCCTGCACAACAAAAGAACGGAGTTCAGACGGGGCACGTTTCATGGCTTCTGCAAACAATGCATTGCGGTAATCCACATGTGTGGGTTTAACAGCAGACTCACCGCTGCCGCTGCCAGTGTTGTTGTTATTGTTGTTGTTGCTATTATTATTCTGAAGAAAGGTTGGTTCCCTATCGACGGCATTGGCCGGCATCACGGGAGAAATGCGGCTCCAATCTTTTCCCTCAATTCCACCGGGTTCCCGCAGGGCGTCCTCCACAACTCCCACCGCCCACCGTTCGTATTTGCGTCGATCCGCCTCATTTGTTCTCGTCTTCAGTAAATACGCCGCCCGATTCAACCAATCGCGGAGAGGCTTCGTCATCGGCACACCGTGGGAGGTCAGAAAATCTGACGAAAGGTACGTTGTCGTTTTTGACATTCTTTCCCACACCTTTCCCTTTCTTCTTTTTCTTCCATTTTATTTTATTTGTTTGTGTGTAAATTTATAAAAATGAAGAATAACAAAAAAAATAAAAATAAACAGTGTCAAGAGAGAGAGAGAGAGGAAAAAAAAATAAAAAACGGATTCATTACATCAACAGAGGGTGATTGATAAAGAGAAAATAAAAGGAAAGGGAGAGAAAAAAACAGAAAGGTTATAACACTTCATCGGGACTGTAGCGACGAAGGGAAGAAGGAGAGAAGAAGAAAAGAAAAAATAGCAAGAAAAGCTGGGAAAAGCATTTCCTTTCTCCCCCCCACAAACTTCCAACCATCCCTTTTCTCTTTCCATCATACCAAAAAAGAAAAAACAAACAAACAACAGCCGAAGATTATTCGTTAGACGTTTTAAGCATTATTTGAAGAACATCTTCATCCTCTAACTGGTGTGCTATACCAACTCTCTGTGGTTGATGTTTTGCACTTGTGCCCCAAACCAATGCGTATTTAAATCTAGACGCAATGTCTTTATGGATCCTCTTGCAAATATGCTCCACGGAAGAATTTCTTTTCACCACAAATGGTTTTGTAAAGTCAGGATGATTTCCATGTTTTTTTGTATAAATACGAATAATATTAAGATGTTCCCAAATTTCTTCAATAACTTCATCCACATTTAAATCCCAATGAAGTGAAAGAACAACAGAATGTGGTAAACGACTCAAACGATCCATTTCTTCCATTGTAATGGTATCAATTTTGTTATAGACGTATAAACATGGCATATACTTTCGATTTCCTTCAATAACATCAATAAATTGATCAACTGTGATATCTTCACGAATAACAACATCAGCATTATGAATACCATAATCTTTCAATATCTCCTTGGCCAAAGATTCAGACATACCCAATGTAAGTTTAACCGTAGAAGTAAAACTGATAGCATTCATGCTACATGATGGTTTCTTTTTAAACGTCACATCTGGAAATCTCTGATTTAGACGAATTCCAACAGTTTCTAACTCAGCCTCAATTTTACCTCTTTGTGCCTCTGCCTTAGCGGCATCTAACATTAAAATAATCATATCCGCTGTTCGTGCAGTAGCAATAACTTGTCTTCCACGACCTTTACCTTCTGCAGCACCTTCAATAATACCTGGTAGGTCTAAGATTTGAATTTCCGTGCCTTTATGCACAAGTTTACCTGGAATACACGTCAGTGTGGTAAACTCATACCCCGCTGCCTCACTTGCTGTGGCGGTCACGCGTGAGAGAAAGGAGGACTTTCCCACAGATGGAAATCCCACAAGAGCACAGCGCACATCACCACTTTTTCTCACCTCAAAACCATCACCCCCACGAGCACCAGCAGCCCTCGTTGCATTCTCTAACATTTCAGTTTTAATACGGGCAAGTTGACCCTTAAGGCGTCCAATGTGATATTCCGTCTTTTTGTTTTTTTGCGTTTTGGCAATCTCCTCCTCGATCGCCTTACGTCGTTCAAGCAACCCCATCTTTACTTTTTTCCTTCTGCTCCTGTTGTTCTTACCTTTTGTTTTTGTTTATGCGTTTGTTTTTACTTCTTTCTTTTTTTTTTTGTTGTTTCTTTTTTTTTTTTTTTTTTTTTTTTTTTTTTTTTTTTTTTTTTTTTTTACCTGAGCCTCCCTCACTTAAAATGTAGCCAGTGATAGAAAGTGGCTAATGAGGGAAACAACAAAGAAAAGAAAGAAAGAAAAAAAAAAAAAACAAGAGAAAAAAAAAACACAGAAACCATGTTTAGATATACCCCTCTACAAACACAGAGATAGAGATAAGGAGGGAAAACTCCCAATTACTCTTCAAAAACAGTGATGTGAGAGCAAAAAAAAAAAAAAAAAAGAAACACACACACAGGCATACGCACATAAACATCATGTTTCCAACCTTTCTTTTTTCTTTTCTTTTTCTCTTTTCTTCTTACACGCCTTTCAATATAAATAGGGAAGCTGATACTCGGGAATATATGGCGAATACAGCAACGAGTTGGTTTCCAGTCCAACTAGATGTGGTTCCCTCTCTTGACTATTAGAGAGGATCACACAGTCTCATTACGGATGCAACAACAACAACAACAACAACAACAACAAGAACAACGAAAAATAAAAAAAAAAAGATACGAAAGGAGAAATATTAAAAAAAAGAAAGGAATGACTTTCTTTTCTTTTCTACTTTTCTTCCATTCACACGACTGTGAAATATCTGAACATCCACAGTCATGAAATGATATTGAAAACTCTGCTGTTTTGCACACTCTTTCTCCTGTCATTTATCTGAGTAGACTCCCCTCTCACTCCAATGACTTGACCTCCTCCTCTTTCTCTCTCTCTCTCTCTTTCTTTCAGTTTCTCTGAGGGGAAAAAAAAGAGAACCACAAAGGAAAGAGAAAAAACAGAAACAAACAAACAAACAAAAAAGAAGCGCAGCAACAACAAGAAAAGAGAAGAGGAATTGGGTAATCATATGAGATGGGAGATTTATTTAGTCGCGGGAGACGACTGATTGACGCGCTCCATTAGTTAGATTGGAAGATGTACCACTAGTTGAGGAACAACCCATAAAACATTTCAACGGTGAAAATCCAAATTTTTTTGCTTCTCCTGCAATCACATGATTTTTCATCAGAGATGGAATCCATTGATCATCTATTATTTTTCTCAGTTCTTGGGCTGTGTTTACAGTAAATCTCTTACGTCGAATAGGTGACCATGTCATGTATGGAACTTGCTGAGGTGTCCTGGATTTTTGTCGATGATCCTCAAGAAGAGCAAATAGTATCATGGCAAAATAACGCAGTCCTTCCTCTTTATCCAAAACTCCATTAATACCCGTTGCACCCTTCTTTGGTACACCGAGCGTTACTCCTGTTAAACAGGCTTTTCCACCAGACCACGGTTGTGTTCCGTGTGAATCGCATATATAAAGCGTCCACGCCTCTGTATATCGGGCATCCGGTTGATTCAGTACATCATGTGCAAGTGAAAAGATAGATACTGTATAGTCCCCAGAGGCGATCACGTATCCACATACAGGACGTACCCCATCAGCATCTCTACTACGTTTAAGGAAATAACACAGTTGATTTACCAGATCTTTGGCTCTTTCTTGCTGATTATAAAATAAAACTTCAAACTCACCTTCATTGATTTTACTAGGAAAAAAATCTCGAAGTCGTAAACAGGTATTTAAATCTCCAACAGTAGGCCGTGATTTCTTCTGTGGCCAACCTGGAGCTGAAAGCTGATGTAACCAAGCGGAAATATACAATAAGTAATTAACAGTAGACATGGCATTGCACTCTTGCATTGTTACTGCGAAACCTAAAGAGGAAAGAATGATTGCAGCAACAGTTGAAAAGGTTTGACAACAGTCATGCGTTCTCGGTGGCATTAGACCTTTTGTTCTTCCTCTACCTGCATTAAACTGAGAGTGAGATCCTCGAATACACACTACAGTATTTTCAACAAAAAAGTCATACTTTCCACATCTGAGAATAGCTATATCATTTAAACTCATGTCGGTTAACCTACCTTGTATTCGATGCAAACGCTCTTGTTCACGAAGGGCTTTGCGTTCATTTTTATTAGTGGAAACTGAATTACCATTAACATTTACGCCTTTGCTAGTATCAGAGAAACTCTGCTGATCTTCCAAAAGCGATGATGTAGACACTGTAGAACTGTCTTCAGAACTCATCACATGCTTCTGTATTTAGAAATATTAAAAATACATACACAGATAAATATATATATAAATATATATAATCCCAAAGGAAAAAGAAAAAAAGGGGGAAAAAAGAAGAAAATTACCTACAAGTGGACCTAGATAAGAATCTGCAGTCATAGTTGATACAAGACCAAGAAAACAAAAAAAAAGAAATCAAAAAGAACAAAAAAGTTTTTATAGAGGCAAGTATCTTCCTACACAAATAAAAATCATTACTTCTTGGAGAGAGTTTTCTGAATCCGATCCACCAAGCTCGCGCCGTTATCACCAGCACCATCAATAGCAACAGCGACCGGAGTATTCCAGTCCGGAGTTCCCTTAACAAACACTTCCTGATTAATGCGAATGACACCTTCTTCTGCATCCCAGTGGATACCTGGGTAAATACGAGCGAGTTTAGTCAGTGTATCAAACGCGGCGATTGGGGTATTCTTATCTTCCGTGCGAAGTAATGCCGTTCGCTTTTCTCGGGCGACTCGCAACTGTGAAGTTGCCTGTTTGAGGAGAGATCGGTTACGTCCAAGCTGCATAGGAGGCAGCTGAGCCTTTTGGTCCAACTGTGGTGGGAGTTTCTCTGCCTCTGCCCCAGTCAAAACGGAGACGTCTTTAATAAAACAAGTTCGGATTATTCTTACACTTGGGCTGCCATCTGAAAACCCATTAATGAGCACAAGGAGTTCCTCCGCGGGTTTGTACGTAAAAATAGTTCCCTTCACGGCAGTGCCATCAACCAGTGTGACCGCCACAGTTGCGCCAACGGCTTGAGTCTCGGTGACAGCGCTTGGCATACTGCTTCCGCGGGCAATCTATTGGAGTTCTTGGTTTTCGCTTTAGTTACTTTCAAGGAAATAGATTTTTTTTTAAAAAAGTAAAAAAAAAAATAAAATAGAAAAATAAATAAAAAACAAAAGAAAAGAAAAAACAGTTTATCATCTTTTCAGTCAGTGTATGAGGAAACATATATATATATATATATATATATATAAATAGAGATAGAAAGGAAACGCTACACAAAAAGCATTACCTTATTCCTCAAAGGCGTGGACCTACTATCACCACCCATTTGAACGCCATAAGAGTATATGTGAAGAGATGTTTTTTTTTTCTTTTCTTTTCTTTTTTCTTCGTTCTCATTTTTTTCTTTTCTTCATTTTTTCTTCTTTTCCTACGCATGAAAGACGTAATGTAATCCCCTTTTAGCGTACACAAAAACATTCTTTGATTTGGCATAATTTAAGATTTCCCTTCCTGGAACAGAAGTTGATCCAATAAACAAATGTGTCCGTTTTGAAAAGAGCTGAGAATACATTTGTTTTATTTGCCTGTGACGGTCTCCCTCTGGTGGTTCCTTCGACCACTCTTTGAGAAACTGAAAAGTACCCGCTAAATTATTGACATGCGCCGGAGAGAGTGAGTTGTGACAACTCACCAAACCCGTGTCATTAGGTGCACTCAAAATACCATCAAACCAAATGGTGCTAGGGACTTTATCTTGATTTTTGGCGTTAAACTGATTTCGAATTTCCATATCCGCCGCACGAAAAACCATCTTATAGTCTATTGGATCTACACGATGATCCATTGTGAAGGGTGATCCAGTACTACAACAAATAGCTTTCATGGTGCTATAACTGGCATTACTCTTGGCTCGACGTGGCAGTAATTGATAGAGATTCTCATCCTTGTGTACACTAATGAGATCTGACCATCCGTCTAAAAGCAACGGCTGTCCTACGGGATGTTGGGGTGGAATACCACCGTACTGCTGCATCACCACTTGTTGTTCGGGTGAAATCGCCTCAAAAACAAGTGATTTGGCCTCATAGGCGTCAAATACACGATTGTGAAGTTTTTGTTGGGTAACATTTCCCGACATATCACGAAGCCGGACCACAAGGGTCTGCAGTGTTGTGTTTAAGAGCGACATTTTTTTTTCTTTTTCTTTTTCTTTTTCCCCCTATTTTCTATGTGTGTATGTGTGTATGTGTGTGTGTGCGTGTGTGGTACCCTGTCTCCACCCACCCCACTACCAACTAGAGAAACGTAATGAAATGAAAAGAAACAAAGAAATAGAAGTAACCACAAATCCAAAACACAGATATATATATTACATACAGTTTTATTGTACAAGTATATATATATATATATATATATATATATATACGCTTATTTATTATATCATTTTTTTTCTTCTATACAGGCTGTCCTTTTGTTATAACGAAATCTATATGGAGCCTGCAACAGATAAGAGTACTCCTTCTACCGATTTCCCCCCAAGTTTCTTTAATGACAACACTACTAGTTTCGTGTATACCTTACACGTGGAGTAACTGTGCCTCTTCTCCAGTCGTTATAGCAATCCATTGTTCATGTTGAGATGACCAAGAAACATTGTTAATAGGTTGCTCAGATTTATAGTTCATCATACACTTTGGAGTCATTCCTGAAACCTCATTTAGATCCCAGATATAGGCATTTCCATCTTCTCCAGCACTACAAAGATTAGTTGCTGAGTTTGGTGCCCAGCAAACGCTATTAATTGGTTGAGGACGATTATTTTTTAAAAATACTGCAGGAACAGATGGCATTCTAATATCCATTACAATAACTTCTGTACCATCTACACCAAATGTAGTAAGATACGTTTGGTCTAATTTATCCCAGGCAACACGTAGGAGAGGTGACAGATTTGGAGATTCGTACAATACTGTACAATGTTCAATCTCTCTCAAGTCAAATATACGAACGGAACCATCTGCACCGCAACTTGCAAATGTATGTGTACCTTTCGCGAAGGCTATATCATATACATCTTTATCATGTGCAATAAGTCTCGTATTTTTTAAACTTTCAATATCCCATATGGTTATAGTGGTATCAACACTACAACAACCAACGATTTTTGGATCATCATTATTCCAATCGCAGGATGTTATGGGGAAACAAAAATCATTAGGTTGTTTTCCGCTATCAAAAACTGTATTAAATACTACATGCGAATCTATATGATCTTTTTTACTTGATAGATCTTCGCGTGTATCATTTGATGCCCGTTGTTTCTCTTCGCTACTCTTTTCTGGAGGTCCTTCTTTAACTTCCCAGAGACGAAGATAATCAGCTGTTGTGATTATAAGGTCCGTTGTGGCCTTCTGAGGAGCAAACATTACTTTTGTAGGTGGATAACAATGTTCCCATGTTGCTCTACAAACTAAATTTCCCTCTTCATCCTTCTGAACAATATCCACGTGGTTTTTGTACTCTTGAATATAGGAGGAAACAGCAAACCGGAAGGGTGCATTCTCTCGAGTACTCCACGATAGACCATTCGCCACCCAACCAGTGGAGTAGGATAAGATATTATGCCGTTGTTGTTGTTGCTGCTGCTGCTGCTGTTGGTGCATCTTCTGATATAATCTAATCATACCGAAGAAAAAAAAAGGAAAAAAAGGAAAAAAGGAAAACGAACACACACAGAAAGAAACATATACTTTTTTTTTTTTTTCTCTTACCAGTTCATACCATTGGAAATAACTTGTCTTGGTGATTACCAGGGATCAATTCAAGATAATCCCTAGATACACACACACACAAGAACAAGAAAGAAAAAAAAAATAATAAAAAACATACACCTCATTGAATCTTGAAATGATCAACTACATCTCTAATAATAAACAGAAAATAAAATGCGTTCTTCAGTTATTTTCCTCATTAAGTCTCTTTTTAAGAGACTCAATTTCTGCTTTAAGACAAGCATTTTCCTGCTGAAGTGCCTCATAGTCTGCAGCGGAGGCTCCACCAAGTACTTTCTTAATAAAGTCCACTGGATCTTCAGGTCTTTCTGGCTCTTCGTAAAGGTTAACGAGAACACGAGTCATGGTATCGATCACCTGTTTTCTCTCGAGGTATTTGCGAAACTCCTCTTTCTTTGCCTCACTTGACTGATAGGACATATGTGTATTTGCTTATGTGAGTGTTTGGTGTCAATTTACAACTTTTCCTTTGAGATTAAACTACATATATATATACATATATGTATAACAGATGGAGATGTAAGAATAGGAAAGAAAAAGATAATAATAACAACAACAATAATAAATAAACAAATAAATAAATAAACTAGAGAAATAATTATCATTCCCTCATATTCTTTTTTTCCTTTCCTCCCACAACCTTTTACACATCCCAATAGAGAAAATAAAAAAAGGGAATAATATCAGTCTCATACAAACGTACACCTACTCACACCCAAATACAGAGTTAAATTCTTTTTTTTTTGTTTCACAAATACAAACTCAGAAACAAAGAAAATTCTCGACCTTTTAGAGGTTATTATTTAATGTTCGACCACATGACGAATAAAAAAAAAAAAAAAGACATTCTCTTTTCCCTCTTTTATTCACTGCAACGAAACTTCTCTCTCTCTCTCTCTACTGGTTCCCATTACTCCTCCTTTTGAGACTCTTTTCGCACCTGTGATCCTTTTTGCACTTGTGGTCCTTTTCGCATGTGTGAACTCATTAAATCGCCATGACGAACAAGTCTTTTTGGATCATTTTTCCACAGTCGTGATAGGACCACGAGGACTGCGATGATGTGTGCGGCAACGACGAAAGCAACGAAGCACCAAACAGCGTTAAATTGAAAGTCCATTCGTAGAATACCGCTTTACATAACATAATACAAGAAGGAAGAAATAATAAAAAAAAAAAAAGAAATTAAAAAAAAAAGGTGAAAGAAAAAGAAAGATAGCAGTATTATCAATAATAATCAAACGAGGGAGTTTGAGAGAGGAACACTATCCAGCAAGAACGCATATGGATAGTGTTGAGGTAAAAAAAAAAAAAAAATTAATAGTTCTAAAAAATGGAACGAATAGAAAAAAAAAGAGAGATATCCATCTTTTTTTTTTCTTCCTTTTTTCTTTTTTTTTACGCGTAAAAACAATAAAAACTTATTGGAAACAACAACAACAAGTAACAACACTAGCCAGTGGTAATGACTCTCATACACGAACATGTACGGCATAATGTTTCTGTAAACCTTTTCTTGCCGTTCTCTGCGCATCTTCACTGCTGTCTGTGGCGAGACGGAGAACTCTCATGGTCTCCATATTATTCTGCAGCTCCGCATCACTCAATCGCCGGAAGAGCGGGCAGTCGTCGAGACAGGAGACCATCCACTGCTCCAACTCCTCCACATCGGATACTGTAAAGAGTAAACCCCCAACTTTTAGCCAATACGCATACTCCTGCACAAGTCCTGGTGAAATGATGCGACGACGAATATTCTTTCGCTTCCAATGAGGATCTGGATAACAAAAGAAGAGTGCTCGCAGTTGACCCTTACGAAAACAGTTTGAACCAAACTTCATCACATTCATCTGTTCAAACCACAAGTTCCGGAAGTGATGAGGTTTATCAGAGGAAGTGGAAGAGGAAGAGGAAGGAGTGGTATCAAAGACTCCCTCACGGTAACTTAGTGTTTTCTTTTGGGCAAAGTCAACAACTTTGGGTCGAATTTCAAGTCCCAACATGCAGACATCAGGAAATTCCTGTGAAAGCGAAAAAAGCATCCCACCAAATGCACATCCCACATCTACAATCTCCACAACGGGATTACTCATTTTTGGATAAAACTCCACACATCGTGCCTGCATCTCTGCTGGGTTATCTGGATGGTCATCACTGTTTTCTGCCAACGGATTTCGATGAGGACGCGTGCGAATTGGCAGGCGCGTCCATTTGGGTTGCACAGCAGTCGCCATTCTAATCTAATCTGAGAGACACCAATGGAGACTACGGTAAGTTTCTTTTTTTGTTTGTTTATTTGTTTATTATTATTGTTGTTGGGTGGTGGTGGTGGGGGGTAGTGTGCCAAGCAAACAATTTACAGAAAGAGAAATAGATGGTGTGAAAAGAAGAAAGAAAGAAAATATAAAGCAACACCAACATTAATGGAACAGCAACAATAATAATAATTATTATTATTATGATTAAACATAATACTGTGAATCAGAACGAAAAAAAAAAAAAAAAACACGCTCACTGACGCACAATAAAGAGAAGAAAAAAATCAAGGGAAATCCACAAAAATAAAAAAAAAAAAAATGGTATTCACAAGATGCTTTTTTGTGGAGTCTTTTTCTTATTGTGTTTCTCCTTAAGGCGTTTCTTCAGTTGTGCGTTTTCTGCCACCAGCTGTTCTAGTTCCATTGTCACTCGTCCTAGAACAGAATCACACTCTGCCTGTTCTTCCCGGTATTTGGTCCTCTCAGAAACTAATTCTGCCTGAAGATCCTCACGCTCCTTCGCACTGCGTTTCTCCAGGTTTCTATAATTATCCTCAAGTATTGCCAACTCTCTATTAAGTGTTCCGATCGTTAACTCATTTGCCTTTAACTGTGAGATTAAACTACCTTCCTTCTCATCACCCATACTACTATAGATGTGACCATTGAAGGATGGAATATCTGATTTTGCTCTAGTGGATGAAGCAATTGTTAATCGTAATTGCTCAATGATTTTTTCCTGACGCTCTATAGTCTCTCGTAAGCGATACAATTCTCCAGCACTTTTATCTTCTTCTTCAAGAGCTCGATGGAGAACTGCAAATCGATGAGCTGCTTCTCGTTTCTCATGATCTCTCGACTCCAATTCCTGCATAAGCGCGGTCACTTTCTGTTTTAACTCACGCACTTCATCTGATCGAGATGGGGATATTGATCGTAAAGGTTGAGTTCGAGTAATAATAGAGTTTACACGAAGCATGGCATCATCCGTTTTCTCAAGCAATTTATTCTTCTCTTCAAGAAGAGCACGAATCAATACATAGGCTTCTTCCATTGAGAAGGGGAGAGGATTTTCTAATAATGCACGTTGAATTTCAATTTCAATTTCTCCTTTTAAAGGTTGCATTCTTGACAATATTTCACGAAAATGAGCTATATTATGTGCGCTAAGAACTCCTTCTACACGTTCAAGTGTTGAACTTCGATTTGTAGAAATTTCTGGTATTTTATTCACAATCACATTGAAGGCTCCCAAAGCTGGTATGATAACCCGTTTCTCCAATAAGGAGAGATAATCAATTAAGGACATTAGTGCGGAGAGAGAATCAGCAACTAATCGATCTCGTTCTCCTAATTCTGCTGTTAACTTCTGTTCTGTTAGGTCTCGTTGACGCTCCACAAAGACACACTCATCAATCACTTCAGAAAGATTTTGTTTGGTCTTTTGAAGCTCATCCATAAGTTCGGTGACATTGGTTCCCATTAGAAGTAATTCCGACTACTTTGTGTCCCTTCTTCTTCTTCTTGTTTGTTTTGTTTGTTTTTTTTTTTTTTTCCAATCCGAAGCCAAAGGTGAAGAGTAAAATGGGAACCTGAGGAGCAGGTGGATAAAGGGTCTACACAGAAACGAGCAGATAACACCTATCACTACCCAAAAATGCAAACAACAAAACAAAACAAAAACAAAAACACATATCAATTCATGTACGTATATGTATATGTGTATGGATGTATGTTTTTCCATTTTCTTTTTTTTTTTCTTTTTTAAAGCACCCCCTTCACTCATCTCCCTGGAGCGATACGGGTATTTCTTTTAAAACTTTCATCAAATGCATTTACTCGGCTAATAGGTCCCTTTTTACGACTAATGACAGTACTGTCTTTATTTAATTTGGTATGAGGAGATGTTTTTCTTGAACCTTGACCCTGAAGTTCCTCCATAACATCCCGCATATCCTCAGAATAACGAGCCACTACATCTGAACTAGTCACATCATGTGTCCAAATAAATTCGCTACTACTCTCTGAAGTATCGGCAGAGTCATCACTTTTACCAGAGTCAATTTGATGATATTCATTTTTCATCATTTGGCGTCTCATTTTATTAGGTAATCGATCTAATGTAATTCGACCCATATTACCAAGTTGAAAATCATGTAAGAAAAATCTCTGCGCTTGAGTAGGATTTAAATTTCCCAAATCCGTTTGTCCACTAGTACCACTTCTCTCACAGATCATTGCAATACAATCATCAAAACTTATCGGAGCTCGTGGTAAGTGTAAACACTCAGCCATATGCTCACTCATTCCTGCAGCAGAAAGAACATCATAAATGTATCTAGATACAAGGGCACGAGTAAGTGTAATATTATTGGTTGGAACAATACCACATGCGGCTAACTTCAAACCGGCCTCCTTTGAGAAACAACCCGGAAGTGTAAGACCAGGAGAATCATATAAAACAATATTTGGATCACGACAAACAGGAACAAGTTTAACTCCTTTCGTTGTTCCTGGAGTTATACTAACAGTTTCTGGGGTTCGAGAACGTCTAAAATCTTCACGATGAAATTGATATTCATGTGCCATTCGCAAAGAATTAATAAGAGTAGATTTTCCAACATTAGGCATACCGACTACAAGTCCAACATGTGCAGTCGTTTTAAAACGCTGTGCGGGAAGAATATGAGTTACAAATCGCTGAACAGCTTCTACCGTATCTCGCCAACTTCGCTTAGCGCTCGTAAAGAGGGCAAAATTACCGGTCATTTCATAATATTGTTGAATAGCTCGATTAGAGTCCTCATTAGAAAGTTCTGCCTTATTAAATATAATGAGTCTAGGACGACCCACAACTAGTTTTCGAAGATTCGGATTTTCTGTGGTAAATGGAAGACGGGCATCACGTATTTCCAAGACAAAATCCGCATCCTTAACCTTCTCTGCGAGAGACTGTGAGGCAAGTTGCATGTGTCCCAAATACCACGCCGGTCCCTTTTCGCCCACATCCACAAATGCTTCTCGGGACATTCCCTTCTTGTTGGATTGATCCATTGACTCCTTATATGATGCGAGAGCTCTTTTTACACTCCGCATGAATACAGGATCAAAGACATTGCGAAAACAAATACTTTGCCGCATCTTTACCCCTATTTCTCTCTCTCACTCTGTCTGTATGTGTGTGTGTGTGTGTGTTTCTAGCCGTATATATATATATATATATACTCTAATCTACCCCACCCCCCTTCCACAGCTATTTTTATTGGAGTGTGATGGAGAGGGTCAACAACAAAAAGTAACACAAAACAATGTATACAAGAAAGAAGAGAAAGCAAGTATACTTTTTTTTTTTTAGTTTTCTCGCATGAATGAGAGTTAAAGATAAGGAACAGCAAAACAAAAATGAATAACATCCACAGATGCAGAAGGATAAGAACAAAAACAAAAAAAAAAAAAGAACGATCCATCAACCAACCCACATTTTCCTGATGTGGAAAGAGGCATTTTTCTTTCCCATACACCCTTTTTCTCCGGAAAGAAAAGGAAAACAAAAGGGAAACCCGGCATACCAAAATAAAAACAAAACAACAAGAACAAGAACGACAACTCAAAAAAAAAAAAAAAATCACAGTCATTATCCCTTTTCTTTTTTTTTCCCTTCTTTTTCCCTTTGTGTTCTTGTCGACATGCTTCATCTAGTTTTTTTTTCCTTCGTAAATATGTTCTCTACTCTTCTTTCCCATCTCTCCCTTTTCTTCTTCTTGTAGTATTCGGTCACAGAAGGAGATTGTTCCGAAGGAATTACACATTTCGAAACCGGAAAATAATAATAATAATAATAATAATAATAATAATAATAATAATAATAAAAATAGAAATAATAATAAAAAGAAGGCTAAAAGACTTGAGATCCCTCTACCCCATCAATCAAGAAATATGAATGAATGAGACCATCAGTCAGTCTGAGAATGAGATATAAAGAAAAAATGCCTTCGGCCTTCGAGAATGAATATCTCAGTAATAGCAACACAGATTACAAATACCTTTTTTTCTTCTTACTATTTTTTCCCTCCACAAATGTCTCTTGCAGAGTTACCAACTATTAAGGTATTGGTATGTAATACAATTGCAAATATAGCGAGAGAAAGAAATAATCGAAAATAATATAACCCCATCAAATCAACAACAACAACAATGAAAAAACAAAACAAATACAACCAGAAAGCCATAAATGAGAGAATGGGGATAAAACAAATCTTCTTTCGTTTCGTTTCCTTTCAGTTCTCTTTTTTTCTTTCCGTGTCATGAATGGAAAAGAGCCCAAAAAGAAGATGAGTGGTGGAATACAAAATCAAAAATACGCACATATATAAAAGTACAAATATATGTTTTTTTTAACTACTAAAATCATTTCCCTCACTTAAAAAAAAACACACACAACAATTCATTCATCCTTATCAACATTTCCTCCCATCACAGAGGATGATAATATTCTTTGGATAATATAAGTGTTACCAAATAGTCTACTGAGAGAGGTGATCTGTTTCCCAATGTTATTCTGTTTCCTTCCCTTGGGAATTTTTTTCCTTCTTTTTTTTTTTCACCTTCACTCTCATTTCTTGTACTCAACTATTTTACTTCCCCGTCATTCCCTATTCTCGCCCAGCAACGCAAGCACTAAGATAGAGAAGATCTTTACCGATTTTTCTTGATTGCCTTTTAAGGCATTTTTTTCTTTTTCTTTTCCTTACCTATTTTTTCACACACACACACAATAATAATAATAATAATAATAATAATAATAATAAAACACTGGGGGAATTGGAAAAAAAAAAAAAAAAAAATATTCAAAAAAAATATATGAGAAAATTTTTTACCGTTTTATTCATCGCTATCAAAATTATGAAGATATTAGGGGATTGGTGTACAACGTCAGGTGTGGGGCACCGTGCAGGGTCCGCGCAGCCACTGGTAATGGTGTCATGTGTGCCGTTCCATAGTGGTATGGCGGTATGGCCGCTGATGGACTGTACAGCGGCATCCCTGGTACACCCGATGTCAAGAGTAGAATGGGTGAGCCTGTTGGAACTTTATTTCCTGTGGATGGATTTATTAATGCCGAGGCAAAAGGAAGTGGAATGGGAACTGGAAACATCTGTGGGGCCATACTTGAAGCCGCTGGTAGATACTCCGGTGGGGGCGCGGCGATGGCCATGTAGTCCTGCGGTCGGTATGTCTTGGCTCCACTCGCTCGAAGCTGATCAAGTTGAGCTTGTGTTCCGTGAAAAAATGAGCATTTATCACGCAAACAGGCACGTTGCGTGAAAAAATGACAAACCGTGAGAGGTACACGTCTTGTCTCGCCGTCTTGAATATGCATGTAAGAACAACTTGAGGAGCGAGGACAACTGTTGTTGAGAAAATAATCACGGCATATAAGTCCTTTATTTCGAAACATCTCAGCAATCTGTTGCCGCTGTTTATCAGGTGTCCACATCACCGGAATATCGTTCATTTGAAATAGATGTGAGATGTCTGAATTTCCAAGAATAATACCACACTTAGGATTGTAATCCTTCTCTTGAGAACTTATTCAAAGTATAAAGACTTTGACATTGGATAAGAAGAAAGAAGAGAAGAAAAAAAAAAAAAAACAGTACCAAATAGAAACACCAAAAATGAGCACTTAGATACCAGATAAAACCAATACACATATACAACTATTAAGAAGAAAGTACCAAGAAACATTTGCCCCACTTCCTTCTGTAGAAGTTTAAGATAAAACTCATATCACCATTACAGAACAAAAATTTCAGACAAGTAACAACGAAATCAAATAACCCCCAAAAGATACATTGAGAGTGATGACGAGAACATAATAGTAAGGTTCCCAGCGAGACGGTAGCTATATCCAGCGTAGAGTCTCCTCCCATAACTTGGGGCAGCTGCGGGTTTATAGATTTGTGCGAGAAAACTGCGCCAGCAACGTCTCTGGAGTGGATAAAGCACCGCATCCAATGCTGTGGTGGCGGCGAATGCGCCCAACAGTGCCTTGTGCCTGAAGTGCCGCCACTCTTCAGTTTGAAGGAGATCTGGTCTCTGGCGCAGTGGAGATGCGGGTGTTGGGATGATGCTGGCGCCTGCGGTCTCGTACCACGTGAGCCACACGGCCTGCTGCGGGAGGAGGGCGGCGAGGGGGAGAAGACTGACGGCCCCGCGCAGAAGCCCGCGGCGGGCGAACGAAAACGAAGAAGAGGCGGCGGTGGAGGGGCCGAAGTGCTGCGCGAGAACGGCGTTGAGGATCGGCGTTGCCGCCACGTGCGCCGCCGCCCCCGCCGCCAGCCACACCGCCGCGACGGTGTAAAATGGATGGCGCGTGTCGCAGTACTTCGACGGCGGGAGGAGCGACGGGCCCAACAACACCCGCGACTCGCCGTTGTGAACCGTCGAAGAATGGGAATCAGAGTTCTTATTTATATTTATATTCGTATTGGTAGGTGCTGTGTGAGTGCTGTAAGAGAGGCAGCGGAGGATGATGGAGGCGGTGAGGCCCTGCACCGCGACGGAGAAGAGATCGCGCGTTAAGAGACCAGCAGCAAGCGACCAGACACTACCGCGGAGAAGCATAACACCGAGTTGACACTCTATCCATCGCAGTCGAAGTGGGGCTACCATCAATCCACACATAGAGAACAAAACTCCCATAGAGACAATGTTAGCGACAAGATCATGATGTACCACTCGAGTTGTGTTAGACTGAATTAACCATTTATAAATAGAATCTAACCCATTTTCGAGATTTCCATTGTTACTAATATGACGGTAAAATTCTAGACGTTTTGATAGAGTATTTGTTTCTTCAATAAATCTCCGATGCACCGGTGCTGTAGGTGCACGCCTATCGGCTAAAGTGACTATGTCACCCCATAATATTGAAGATATCAAAAAATTAAAACGAGTATCATCCAAAAAATCAAAAGGTCGAAACGATGATGCTGGGGGAAATTCACTCACTATACCACTCGTTTGCCATAAATGAGCAATCAGTTCAGAACAGAAGAGTCCATTTTCAACATTGCTACCATCAACAACAAAGTGTCCTTCATTCCAATTTAGTAAAGGAACTTGGTTATCATTTTTAAGACGTTCCAAATGTGGAAAATACATATCCTGTAGAAATATAGAAGCTTCATAATATGTCTGACGAAGAGTCTGCAGAGTGGTAGCATCATCTTTTTTATGTACCATCATAGGTAATAGTTTATTAATGTTTTCAATTTCTTTGGATAGTAAATAAAGTTTATGAGCTGCTTTTATACGATCCATTTTGTCTGGAGGACTAAAAAAAGAAGGAATAAACCCTACAAAATCCATCTTATAGGGAATATTACTAACTCTTGGAAGATGGTTATAGAGTAATTTTTCATGTTCGTCACGAGTTTCACCCATATGCAGAAAACGAACAGAAACGCTATTTGAAGAAGATCTTGCCAAACGGTTTTCCAAAGCCCGTAATGTAACCCCACTGAGGTTCGTTTCTAGTACATATGTACCAGAAGGTGAAATAGGATCATTGGGATGTATAGTTCCTGCTTGTTGTTGTTGTTCCACTTGTTCCTCATTAAGTTTCATCACCATTGCAACATGATCAAATGGACATTCTGTTTTGTTAAGAAGACAAATAGCGATACCAATGGGATCTCGCATTTTCATACATCTGCGATTCATCAGCAGGATATCACCACTGCGTAAACATGATGCGGGATCATCGCCTTCTGCGGACATGAAGCAAGAAAATAAAAGAGAAAAAAATTACTTATATTACCACACGCCACGACCTCCACCACTCTTACCTTCTCTTCCAGTGGTGAAAATCAACAATGATACAAAAAAAAAAGAGAACATCATCCGCAAGAACAACAACACAGAAAAAAAAAAAGAAGGAAAAAAAAAAAACACAAATAGTAGTAATACACATAAAACCAAATTTAAATTTCTAGTTTTACACAGCTGTGACCCATATCAAATAAGATCAAATAAGATACTGTCTTTTTTTTTTCTTTTTTTTTTTCTTGCTTTTACTTCGTCTTAACACTGTACGAAATGATTTAGGCAGATCCCTCAATAGATTTCCGCCATCGGAAGGTCATTGATATATCTTCGTGTAACCGAAGCAAGCTTTCTCGTGTATCGCGATCTACAACGAGTCGACATTTAGTTCCGTATGTAGAATGATCATCTGGAGAAGCAGAAAAATACAATCGGTTTATGGGGATACACTGAGTTAACAAAGATGAGATAAGGTTTCTGGATAAACTATTTCCAGCACCACCAACAAGATCCATCTTTGTAACTACAACAAATGGTGAAGCATCATATAAAAACGGACGAATTGTACAAACAAGATTTCTCAAATACATGACCACACCTTCAGCATCTGGAGCGGGACTGTAGCGAGATTTTAACTGAAAAACACTCATCCATCCATTATCTTCAATCAAATCTGTAGCAGGAACAACAATAATACACTGATGTGCTTTATTCTCATTCACAATGGGTAAACGTTCAATTTGTTCTAATTGTAATGCGTCTTTTCCTGCAAGTCGTGTTTTCCAAGGCATTCCGGCGAATAGTCGTTCAAGTAGAACTTGGTCTTTAGCGTCGTATAATTTCCCTGGAGTGTCTATGCAAAGCCATGTCGGTTCAGTCGGGTGATTAGGGAATGGATCCACCGTAGTAGTTCCACAAAATCCACAAATACCAACTGGAGCCGCTGGCCACTTTGTATTACTAGTAACAGCTGCCCTATAACTGTTTACTAGAGAAGACTTTCCTACCTGTGGGGCACCAATAACTAATATACGCATCGTTTCTCCAATTGTATTTCCTATTGACATTTTCATTAAAGAATTACTTCCCCGTGAGACTGTAGTGTGAGCACCATCATCCGCGTGTAATGATGATGATGCAAATCCACCAGTAGATAATGTCCGTGCAAATCCGTTTACTGACATTGCACCGTGATTCATTCTCCCACCTTGTTGAACGGTTCGCAGCATTCCTGTGTGCATCAACACGCCCCCACCCATGTGAGGGAACACGGAGAGACTTGAGGATCGCTTTGCCCGTGGGGGCAGTTGGCTGGCAGACCCCGCCGACCGCGAGGCGATGGAAGGAGACTGCACGGGAGAAGAAGACCGGGTGGAGGAGTGAGAAGAACATGTAGAAGAAGAAGAAGAAGACCGGGATTCGCTGGCGGAGTCGAGGGAGACTGCAGGACGCTGCGGCTTAGACCGCTGCCACACAGGCATATGGAGAGAAAGGGGGTCAGGCAATGCACTCTAACCGCATAGAACCCCCCATTAGTGGTGTGAATGAAAAAGAAAAAAAAAAGAAAAAGAAAGAAACGTGTACTTTTACGTGTGCATATTTCTTTTGAAGGAAATAACAATAATAATAATATACATATCTATATATCAAAAATAGAAGAAACAAATAAAACAATTAAGTCATATATACAAGGTAAAACTTTTGTCTGCGTTAGTAGCATGTCTCCTGTAGTTAGATTTAAAGGTATGGAGTACGCAGTCTACATATCATCAAGCATGTGGGGAATGAGTCACTCCACTATAGAGGATATGCTGGAGCTAGACAGGGACGCTTTTTCAATCATACCATCTTCGGGTAAAAATGGATCATGAGCACTAAGAGAATTAAGCAATAATGCATTCGGTGGGATACTACTATCAGATCGAGTACCCGGAATGACATAAACGTCACAGTCATAGTAGTCAAAATATAGTTGCTTAAGACGACTGATTTCCTCATCATCCAAGAGGTCATGCAGTGAACTCGTGGTTTCAGAGAGTATACTTCCTTCACTATTTATACGATTCTGAAACTGTGGCATTCGTACCGATTCCTCATTGAAGTTTTCAGAAGTTAATCCACCACGGGAAATATAGGAACGAGTGGCAGTAAGTCGTCGTGATTGAAAAGCGCGAACATAACTTTGAATAGTTACAGTGAGGGTTTGGGCCACTACCGCGCATTGTGCAAGGGCAAACTCCGCTCCAGCCTTGCGACGCACCATTGTGGGTTTTCCACACTGTTTAACTGAAGCTAAATACACACTAATAACTCCTCGAAACGCCAACAACTTTGCTGCATTTATTTTAGCAAGTTCTTCCTTCAAGCGACGTTCAGCAGCTACACAATTCCTCAGTTCCGCCAGTGCATTTACAGCACCTGCGGCGTAATCCTCTGCCCAAACAGCACTTCCAGCAATCTCCATGCGGGTGTTTGCCAATTCCGCTGTTGCCGGTGCTGTTGACCGTGCCGTTCTTCCGGTATTCTTTCCTTTATGTGTTCTGACATTGTGTGTATGTGAATGTGAGTGTATGTGCGTTGCATCACCGACAAGAGCACCAGCACCCCCATCTCGTGGTCCTTGTCGTCCGCGGCGCTTGTCGTCGTCGTCACTTTCCACATCGCCATCATGTGGGTGTGCAAAAGGAATTTGTTGTTGTTGTGATAGTGATGTTTGTTGGATTTGGAGGAGCGAACCGCGGCTTGTGGTCGATTTTGGCCCATGCGTGTGTGTCTTCTGCGGTGTTGGGCGGAAACCGCGGCGTTCACTTTTCGGCGGTGAGTCGCCGGACCGTACTGCGAGATCACTGAACTTCACCTCGCGTGGCTGCAGCACCGGTCGGTGCTGTTCCATTGCTTGTACAGATATATATATATATACACGCACACAAACAATACTATACTACCAATAGCAGTGGCAACAGCAAAAAAAAACTAAACAGAATGAAATAAGGTTCAACAGAGACATAGAAAGAAAGGAAATAATATACAAAGCAACGGGATTAACAGAGATGGAAATGCATATAGAAAAAGAGAAAAAGGAGGGAGTGTGTATGCATGTCCCAAGCAATCCCTCTCCAATTTATTTCATATAGAAGAAAAAAAAGGAGGACAGGAATAGGTGCCTCAAAGCAAGAAACAGTAAAGAGACATATACAAAGAAAGAAAAAAAGGAAAAGAAAAAAGAATAAGAAGAACGTATGCAAAATAATAAGGATTTTTTTTTTTTTTTTTTTGAATACTGTACTAAAACAACTTGTTTAGTAGATCTGTCCATTGTTCCACATCACGCACCATCCATTTCAACGGACGGTCAGACCAGGTTTTCCCTCCAAGTTTTAATTCCATCAAGTTAAACTCCTCTCGTACAGCCACTACAGAGGCTTCAATCAAAGCATTTCGCTGGGATGCGTCGAGCACAGCAAAGTTACGACAGGCATCAATTCGCTTCGTCAAGGCTTCCGCCGTATCTCGATACCAATGTTTAACGGCCATACGCTGAGACTTATTTAGTTCCTCTGTTGATGCGTTGAAAGATGCTAGACGAGGATCTGTACTTATTGGTGGAAAACAGCCTGACCAAGATGCGGCGAACTCGTCAACATATCGTCTTTTTTCATCCTCAAGCATAGCAATTATATTAGAAACAATAGGCACAGATGGTTCTTCTTCTTCCTCTTGTTTTCCTCTGGAAGTATTTTTTTTCTTTGTATCTATGCTCTTTTCAAGAATAAGACGTCGCTGATGAAAACAAGCCTCTTTACGGTAACTTTCAATAAAGAAAATAATATTGTTTAGCATAAATATAGCTGGTGAAATAAGATGACTTCGATCCTTAGCATGATGTGAATTAGATCCCAAATGGAAATTACTAAGATGTTGAAGAAGATTATGATTATTATTATTAGAACCTACATCTTCCATAGCATCAAGTTGAATTTCTTGTGCAGTTTCAGCAATAACTTCCAAGTCTCGCAAGGTTCCAAAAACACATCGCATCATATAATCTTCAACCTCTTGTACAGCTCTTGATTCAGCATTCGTATTTAACAAAGATCCATGTAGGGCAAGTTTCATTGCTCCATAATAATTTGTTAATAATACTTTATGTAGATATACTTGATTAGTAACGGAGACATGGGCAGAGCAATCAAGTGATGGATACCACTCTGTACGGTGTAGAGTTCGTGTATATTCTTTTAATAGTCCAGGTTCTAAAGATCCTTTACAAGTAACATAGAAATCCAAAAGATCTCTCACTTCAAAGAGAAACTTTTCTACTACATTATCCACATGATCAAGAAAGTTATGATTATCTCCAGGTAAACTTTCTGCAAGTAATTTCCATTTCCATAAATCCTCAAGAAGTTCTAAACCTACAAATATAATATCTCGAAAATTTTGTCTTACACCAAATAATCCAATACCCTCACCTCGAGAAAGTACAAACATACGTGTAGGATCTGAAAACATTCCCTCATTTACTTCTATAGCTGAAAAACATTTATCTTTTACACAATCAAAAACCATAGTACCTAATTCACTTGGAATTTCAACCACATCAAAAGAATCATTTAATGGATCTAAAACATAACGTTTCAGACAATCTGAACTTTCCGTAACGAGTTGACGAGCTTTAGAAGAAATTGCAAGAAGATAATGACTTCCTTTTTGATAATTTTTTCGCATAGGAGCTACACCATGACGGACTGTAATAGTACTATAAGGTTGAATTTCATCTTCTTTGGCACAACTCTCAAGAAGGGAATTCACCGTTCGCAACATATGTTCACCTAAAAGTTGCTTCACATCTACAGAAACAACATCTGTACGATTAAAATTTTCTCCAAGTCTATGTATCACTTTATCAATACCATTTAAAGCTTCAGGTTTGTGAATAAGAAAATGGGTTGATGTAGTGCGTTTTTCATTATCACCTTCTCTAGCTAATTGGTCTTTCTGAAGTGCGGTTATAAAAGACTCCTTCACGGTATCTTCAGCCACTTTTACTACAGTATTTAATTGTTCTGCGATGTTTGCTGCAATTTGATCTGCATAAGGATTTGGTGGATGAGATGCGAGATAGTTATCAGTAAAAACAAGATAATCAATACACTTACACAGTGCTTCTGGTTTTTTCTCTTTACGAGCTAATACGAGTCGAAGGGATGGTGGTGGATGGTAACAGCGGGCTGCTCTTGACATTTCTTCAATAGTAGAAGCGATGTTTTCTTGTGCTATTTCCCACGGCTGTACATCTGCAGTGATGCGGCGGGCGCGCTCTGCAATGGCCCTTGACGTGTCGGCGAAGTTGTCAAGAGTCTTCGCACTACTGATGTGAAGAGCATTGAGTGCATTAATTTGTTCATCCAATGTGGAGAAACCCATGGGATGAGACCACCCTACATAATATATAAAGAGATTATCAATAATAATAAGAAGAGGAAATAAAGGTTTATATATATATATCGTTAAGGAGATAATCGTCAATACCCCATCACGGGTGAAAGAAGGAAAAGTAAAAACAAAAAGAAACAGGTAAAAGAAACTAACAGAAAATAAATTAAAGGAAGAAAAAAAGCTTGTATCTTGTATTCTTCTTTTTCATTATCACCATCATCACCACCACAAAAGATTACAAAATACAAAGTCACAATCTTCTTTCAGACGTTCTTTTTTCTTCGTTTTCTTCTATCTTTCTCTCTCTCTCTTCTTCTTCTTCTTCTTTTGATGCTCACTAAATTCATGTTGTGAGATGAGGACGAATGGCTTCCATGAAGTTCTCTCGAAAAGATTCATCGCTAAAACGTTTAATAACATTCAATCCACGCTCCTGAAAAGTCTCATACATTCGGGGATTTTCTGTTTTCATTTTAAATATTTCCACCATTCGATCGGCATATTCGGCCTCATCTTTAGCGAGAAAACCAACATCTGGTGATGTGATGATATCAAGACAGACACCTCCACTGTTATGACCAAGTGGAATACATCCAGACGCTATATACTCCACAAGAACAATTCCAAAATGTTCATCTTCCATTGTATGAAGCCCAATACAACAAGTTGAGAGTAATTCTCCCACTTCAGCAAAAGGGGCTCCAACTCGTACTTCTACACGATCTGAAATACCTCTTTTTTCAGCTTCTAAAACAATATCATCTGCTCGTTTTTGATCCTCCGCACTTCTGGCTCCTCCTACCATAATGAGTCGGGCATCCGATGGGAGACGAGGTAATGCCCTGTGAAATGCGAGTAATTGTAAAAGATGATTCTTTTCAGGTCTAAATTGTCCAACACTAACAATTGTATTATTTCGTTCTTCTGGTAATTTTCGAAGTTTCTCCAGATGACTAACAGCACAGGATGGGTATAAAAGTGCGGAAACTTTTGATTTCCACAATTGATCAATGTGACCCTTGGTCCAATGTGAATTCGTTAAGACAAGCACAGGAAACTGTCCAAGCCACCAATAGAAACGAGCGAAAGCTTTATAGTATAAAACTTTAGCCTTTCGAAGTATATGATAACGTGCGAGTATACCTCGGTTGTTAAATCTTTTTTCTCCACTTTCCACACGTTGTGTCATTATGGATGTGATGACAGGGTAATGTGTATAGGTGATAATGCGAACATTAGCAAATAAAGAAAGTAATGGATAAATACCAGGGATACCAACACTTTCAATCACAATAGGTGTTATACTATTTACAATACATGTTTCATAGAATAATAGAATACCTCCACATACAGTTTGTAAAATAAGTGTTAAAAAAGGATATTGTGTACCATCAAGCCACCTTGTTACTTCTCGTCTTAAGAAAATAACTTCCAAAGGTTTTTGTAAACGAATATGAAACTGTCTATAAACTATATCAGCTAGTTGTTCTTCCTTACTTGCACCTATACTACTATTACTATTTCCTTTACTTCCAATATTTGTGCAGTAGAGAACATAGCGACGATCAATTCCTCTCTGTGTATCATCTTGTTGAAGAGCATCAATGGCTATCCACAACACACGTTCTCCACCTCCTCCTGCGGCGGCTGATGGGTGTAAAAAACCAACAGTGTTGGACGGGAACTGTTGTTTTCCACGACGAGCCCTCACTGCAATCACAGCAATGAGACTACAAAAAAGAATAGATATTGTCACTATGGCAGCCGTCAACATCTTTACTAATCAACGCACACTCCCCTTACAGAAGGGGGTAAAAAAAAAAAAAAACAATTACTGAAGCTAAACACAAGAAATAAGAAAAGAAAGAGAAGAAAAAGAAAAAAAAAAACATTCCTTAAAGGTTAATTTCAATACAAAGAAAATGAAGTAATAGAAGAGATACAAATCAACAACAACAAAAAAAAAAAACAAAGTGTGCGAACCCCCACAAAGTCGCACAACACAAACCAGAAAAAGAAGTAAGTTCTACGAAACAAAAACGAAAATAAATCATATATTACGGACCTCACGCCTTGATGGATGTCTTGAAGTGGTTCTTGATTCTGCGGTTCACAGTCTTCAGATAGCGGCAGCGGCCAGTGCCAGTGGTGCGGCGCTTGATGGCCTTCACAGACCAGTTATAACGACGGCGGCTGGCGCGTGGATAGGCGCAGGCGGCACAGCGCTCCCACTGCACATGATATGCATTGCGGCCGCAGCGACGGCAGAGAATGTGCGTGCGCCCGTGGCGCTGACCCATCGATGTGGTACCCTTCGTCATTGTTCCTTTAGACTAAACGAGGCCCCCTTTATATATTTATATAAATAAATATTTATATTTGGTGGTGTGCGTGCGTATAATGGGTTTGTGTTTTAATACACCCCAATAAGGTAGCACAGAAGGGAAAAAAAAGATAAGCGAAAAAAAAAGAAGAGAGTTATATATATATATACATGTATAGCATTATAAAGGGGTAAGACTTACAGTAAAGCAAAACAAAAGAAAAAGTGGACTACAGATGATAGATAAATAAATAAATAGAGATATTCCAAATAAGAAAAAAAAAAATTACAAGAACACGGAACAAGAAAACACAACTAGTCGTTTCGATTAAGGAGATCCTTATCAGCAGTGCAAAGCCATGCATCACATGAGTCATCTCCATCCTTATCCATTTCAACTTCGTTCTGGTTTCCATGATTTGTCGCCTGATCAATAATGTTAACAGAAGTGAGAATAGGAATATGCCAATGAGAGGACGAGAGTCGTCCCCGTTGCACCCAAACAGCATACGGTCTCGGAGGAGCAACTATTAACGTCGCCGCTCCTGTTAAACGTTGATAAAGGGCCCTATACGTTACACGATGTCGTTGGCGCCAACGCAAAAATGAACGTTGACTAAGCAGCATAAAATGATGATCACGCATTTGATCATTTGAGACGAAAAGACAATTTGGTTTTCGAATAGCTGCATATAACCAACAATAGTCATCATTAATAAAACCTGGACAAGCAATCAAGGATGAATCACTCTTCCATTTTGAAAGCCACTCCACATTCTCTGCAGATGGAGATTCTATATGACGATTATGCAACATCACCAAAGGTTTTTTTCCTATTCGTCGTGTTTGCATTAACATTTCATCAATAAGAGAAAATCTCGGAGGGACATCGACTGGCATTGGAATTTCACAAAGTTGATACTCCGGTACAGTCTTTAAATCAACTCCACGATCACGGAGTACTTTTTCCTTCGCTTCTCTGTACCATCTACTGAGACCATAATATCCAACATTGGCTCCATCAATAACGGTATCATAATCACACTCTGCAAGTTTTGACTTGAAATTCTCAAACTCTTGCCATCGTCGTTCCTTCTCTGCTGGTGTCACCATTCTTTCTGGTTCATACCGACTCGCACCTTCCACTCGTGGGGCGATAAGTTTAGTTTCAATATCATTTAGAAGAGTATCACGATCTGTTGCCTCAAAATCAAATGTACGCAGCATCGTTCCACAACGTTTACATTCCCCAGTTTTATCATCCACTTTTGTCATCTCACCTCCCATGAGAGATTGCAATATCTCTCCATTACTTTTACCTACAACTGGGTGGTGATCTATCATACTCTGCATCAATTCATCACGTAAGGCAACAGCAGTAGAACTGTCCTGCGTGTTGTTCTTTAGAGAAGAGAGTAATTGATGATAATCCACATCCCAAAACTCCACACCTTTTGCTCGTCCAAGTCGCAGGATCTTAAGGGCCAATTCAATATCATTTGTTTTCGCGGCATGCTCAAGAAGAGGAAAAAAAACTCGTCTTTTGTGAGATCCTACCGGTAACATGGCAAGCATTTTTTCTGCTAAATCAATATCGACATTTACACATCGAGTAAGTAATCGAATAGAGACAGTAGCGACTTTTTCATCAACAACATTCATGTGCAGTGAAGACTCCGCCTGTAATATCTGTCGCATTAACATTTCCCCACTTTCCAACATTCCCTTTTCTGTCCAAAGATAAAGAACTTTGGCAATGGTTGAGCTACGAGGAAGCGTTTTGTGCTTTTCAACACATTCTTTAAGGAATTGAGAGAGCATAGACACTGCGGATAATTCCGTAATTCCCATATTTGCCAACTTTACAAAGACTTCATTAATAAAGTCAGATGGCTTTAGTCGTCGTTTTAATTTAGTCTGGAGATTATTCTCTGTGATCATTTCCTGAACAATCGGAAGAGCACTGAAGTCGTGTGGGATATCAGGCTCCACCCGTACACGGCGACGTGCCGGTTCATCACAATCCGACATTCTCTAATTTTTCTTTTCTTCTTCTTTTTTCTTTTTTCTCTTCTTCTCTTCTCAATGAAGCAACAAGATCCACCACCACCACCACCACCAAACAATTATACTTCTTTCAAGATACAATAAAAGACAGAAAAAGAAATCACAAGAAAAAAAAAAAAAATAGAATAACAAACAAACAAAAGAAAAAACAGGGTGATGGTACGACCCCACCTCCTCTCCTTAACTTTCCTCAACACCTTCGTAAGATCCATCACAAGAAAAAAAAAAAAAAAACAAGAGTGAGAAAGAGAAAGAGACAACACAACATGAACATCATCATCAATATCAACAAACATTAACAAGGGAAACAACACAACCCCCCTAAAAAAAATGGGTATTGAAGGAGATGATACATTCTTTGACCACAAAAAACAAAAACAACAAACATACTTTTCAAAAGTTCCAAAATACGGTTTACATTACTTTTTTTTTGTTTTTTTTTTTTTTTTTTACGAGGACAGTAAAAACGAAGGGGAGAAAACATATACTCCCACCTTCCCTATCCATCTCATCTCATCCTAATGGGACACGGATAGTCCCAATGGCAAATACATTTCGCAGCTTTTGTTCAAGTACAGCCACATCATATTCTGCCTGAAGGACTTCACGATTCATTGCCCTTAAGAGCTTTTCTGCCTTTTCCTGTTCTCTTAATCTCTTTTGTGTAAGTTTGCGGTCTTTTCCCTCTTCCAGGGTGCGTTGATGCTCTTCTTCTGCCGCTTGATAGGCCCTACTCAACTCTTGTGCCTTTTCCACAGAGGCATCATATTTCTGCAGCATCTGCAGTTGATGTTCTGTAAAGAAGGCGGAGAAATCTTCTGGGAATTCACGTGTGCTGTACGCGATGGAGTCACGGAACTGTGCAGGCGCAGCACCGTATACTTCCTCTAATTCTTTTCGCACGAGCTGTTCAAAATCAGCGTAACTCTGTAGTTGGCGTAGAGATGATAGTTCAACAGAAATGTCTGCGTAATCCTCACATGCCCGCAAATGTGGGCGCTTAAAGACGGACATCGCCTTTAAAATTAAAAAAAAATTAAATAAAGAACAAGAGACAAGGAAAAAAAAGGTAAACAAACAAACAAAAAAAAAAAAAAAAAACAGCAAAAGGAAAAACACATTCAACTACTTTTTTTTTTCTTTACTCTTGAAAAAAGTATATATTAATAATTATTCAGAAACAATGTGCATTTTTAGCACACCCCTAAGAAAGATAGTAAAGAGAGATTCAGGTCACTATCTGTTTAACAACATTCTACTTCACTTACTTTTTTTTTCCCCCTTTCGTATGTGCTTAAATAGCCCAACACAAAGAAGCGCTGCGTTAGTGTTTCCACATCCTTGTTTTTTTTTTTTTGTTTTAGCTTTCTCAGGCTTTTTTTTTTCTTTCTTTCTGTTCTTTCTTAATTTTTGTTTTTAACCCTCCTTTTCTCACATCTTGTTTTTCTTCTTCTTCTTCTTCTTGGTCTCACCGATGTATACACATGGACATCTCTCTCTCTGTCTGTCACTTACTCCAAAACAGCCGTATTAATCATTCCAGCATCTTCCAACGCATCACAGTCTGCGTGGAGTGCATTTATATTATTGTATAGATACCCACCGTACATATCCTCAAGGTTTCTTTGATCTACAACGTATTCACCCGTTACACCAGGGGAAATATCGATGTCGTACTCCTCCTTAAAAAACTCTCTAAGTGCAATATGACTATCAATATCGGTATCACTAGAATGGCTAGTACTGTTTTGAAAACGTTTAAAATCTTCATAAGTCCAGTATCCCTTATCTCCACCAAAACGGTTAAAAATCATATTTACCAGAGGTTTATCATCAACACTCAAGAGAAGACGAAAACCTTCCTTCTCTGCACGGGCATACATTTCACGGCAATTTACACAATACATTTCTCCACTTTCTTCATCAAACTCCAGATCTTCAATGCCCAAACATTGTTTATTGGCGCAAACCTGCAAAACGAGAACATCTTCTTCGTCGTCTGACATAATTTCCGTTGGTTTTTTTGTTGCCTCCTCCACCATCGCTATGGAATTCATGTAATAAGAAAGAAAGAAAAAAGAAAGAAAGAAAGAAAGAAAAAGAAAATAACCAAAGTTTTATATACATATATAATCGAAAAAAAAAACAAATTAATATCAAATTTATTAGTTAATAATATTTATCAGTAACTATAGGTTTAAATCCAATTTACATATATAAACGTTCATCTATGCAATGAAAATAGGGATGGTTGTGTACACAAAATAGTAATATTATCAAATAGAGCGCAGTGACAATCTTGTGTTTAATCATCTTTCTCTTGAAAGGTTCAATTTACACCCAACGTGGTATTAACATAGGAGGTAAAGGTGGAGCAGGAGGTGCTGTAGTCGATACTTTAAACTGATTCCCAATTACGGCAACTTCTTTTATTCTCACCGGAAGAAGAGGAGGAGGAGGATTAGGAAGATTAGGATTAGGATTAGGAGGATGAGGATTGCAAATTTCACTCTCATCAATGTAGAATGTACTAGTCACTTGATCATCCACAATGGAAGTTGTTTCAACCTTTAACAAATCTCTAGTTAAATTCTTTCTTCTGGTTTGCCATTTATTGCCATTTTGTTTTAACTGGAGTAGATGCTCTCGTTCCATTTCAAGACGTGTCTTTATTTCACTAGCCGTTTCTAACCTCTCTTTCCAACGGTCTTGTGATCGATGAAATAACTCCACTTCTTTTCGTCGCATCTTGGCAGTTGATGTGGTGGAAGGGTTGATGAATGAATCTACCGAGTCCAATTCATTCTCATTAAAGAAACAATGATGAGCCAATACTCGCAAATCTGCAGGAATAGTTGGATGAAATATATAAAATAAAATATTTTTTATTGCCAATGGAATTTCTGTAAATCTAGCTATTATGTGATGACAACTACGTCGTGGTGTCTCTTCATCTTCTTCACTACTATCGGAAATAAAGGGTTCTCCTTGACATGTCAGAAGTGTATGCAACATCTGTTCATCTACGCAAACACCACACAATTGCAAAAGAATAACACCAAACAAAAGAATATCAAAAGGTGTTCGTTGAGGTAAAAGTGCATTCCCTTCTTGAATTATATATGGATAATGTGATGGAAATAAACATGTCCCTGCAAGAATATCCTCTACATCAGAGAGTACTAATCCATGTCTCTCAGAAAGTATAAGATTACCAATAGAGAGTATGGGAAGTGATATGTTGTACTGATGACAACTACAAAGTATGTAAAGAATTTTACGACCCAATTGTTGCAATTGTGAAACTTCTAATGGTTTCACAATTTGTTCACGTTCTTGTTTTTTCTCTGTTGTAAATGGTCGACGTGAGAGAAGCATATCACGTAGACTCCCTTGCGGGGCTATTGGGTAGATAGCAAATACACGTGAAGCGGCTACATCTACATATAAAGGATCGTAAAAAAGAGTGGGATTTAATCCAATAAGAATCTTCTGCCATGCATGTACTTCAATCTCTGCCATTGTAACAACATGCTGTACCACAAGTAGTAGCTCTGTACCTATAGAAGCATCTGTAACAAAGATACGTGTTTTCCTCCACCGCGTTAATTGTGTAGATGATGATGATGATGATGGGACAATAGAACGAAATACAAATGGTGTTCCTCTAAGCCACATACGTGCTGCTATAATATTTGAATCGTGATCTTCAGATAAAGAACTTGCTGTAATCAAGCGACGTGCTATTGTCCATTCATCTGAACATCTTGCCTCTGCCCTAGTATGATGTAAATTCTCTTCATATTTTCGCTGCTCAAGTAAAGCTGCCTGCTCAAATCCAATGAGGGATAAAAACTCTTCATCCCTGCACAGCAAACGGTGACTCACCACACTATTTAAAAATACTTCAACAGAGGTTCGCCGTGCTTCAACATACGTCGGATCATTTCCTCTGAAGAGACTTTGTCCCAAAAGTGTCGGTAACTCTCGATCTGAAACAAACTTTCCTAATCTTGTACACAATAAGGAACACTGATTGTATGTGCGCTCTACAACGGTAAGGGCAACAGTGGGACGCACTGGATTCATGATGCACACCTTAAACGTCATATCATTTTCTCCAGGTAATGGATCAATCACGCGAAGAAGAAGCGCAGAGGGATGCAACATGACGCTTACTTCCTCAGTTAGACTGCATACCCTCTTTATTGGGAATGAGAGAGAAACAAGAAGCCAAAGAAAAAAAAAATAATAATAATAATAATAGAAAATTACAAGGACAAAACAAAAAAAGAAGAATCAAATATACAGAATCTATTTAATACTCTTTCTATTTATTTTTTTCCTTTTATCTTTATAGTCTTGTTATACGTTCATCCATAAGTATATCTATGGGTCTGCAGATATATATATATATATATATATATTTTTTTTTAAAACCCCCTTTCGCAACTTCAACCCCCCACCACCCATTACTTAAGAGATCGAATATACTCCACTGTACAGGTGGAGAGCAGTTGATATGTTCGCTGCACCTCCTGAAATGACGGTTTGTGTGTTGTCAACGGGGCTCTGCGAACACGCGGGTCCCGCAGTCCCACCGGCGAGACCGGCCGCCCCGGCAGCGGCGGGAGTTGCGAGAAGTCCGTCAGAACGGCGCGGTTCTGCGGCCCCGGCGCCACGTAAAGCACCAACGCCGCCGCGTCAATATACGGCCGCCAGCGGAGAAGAATATCCCGCACGTCCAGCCGCCATTTTATTTCCTGCGCCCGGCGGATCTGAGAGCCAATACTGCCGTAACTTCCGCTATCCTTCTCGTGTGAGGATTGCTTTCCTCCCTGCTTTTTACGTACAACGTAGCGCTGAAAAGACTTGTGCACTACGGGCTTTCCATCCATAAATACACCACCAGCAAAATAGCCACCGTGACACATGAGAATAACCCATGGTAAGAAGGTAAATGAACGTAGTGAAGTGCATAGTTTGGGTGGTACATCTTGGGGTAATAACTTAGTACCACCATCTTCTTCTTCCTTTTCATCCTGCATCGCATCATACTCCGCAATTAACTGCTTTGAAAGCTCAGCAGTAACAGAATCTTCATCAGACTCTGAACCCTTTTCTTTTTCTTCTTTTTCCATTTCCTCCTCCTCCTCCTCCTCTCCTTTGGCTTCAATAGTTAGATCTGACGAATAAAGATTCTCATCATTCGCGGTATCAATAGAAGTTAAATTGTCTTCAGGTACCATTTTAACAGTTTCTGTTACAGGTGTACCGTATGAAAGAGCAGTAACCACTGCGCGGTGTAGAGTTACACGACATTGACACAAAATCCCATCATATTCCACAGGTGAAGTAAAGTCTAGACGAGCTAAGGGTGTATTCGGAATCAGTACGCAACGTCCTGGTCCAACTGCCTCTTGTGGTATTTCATTACTATTACAGTCAGTGAATTTAGCGACCTCCACAACTTCCCCTTCATCAGCTTCTTCACTTTGCAACGGTTCTAGTTGCTTCTGAGGCGAAACAGTAGATACCACGGCTTTTTCCCCTTTTTTCCCTTCTTTTTCTTCTTCTTTAGCCAATACACTTTCCTTCTGAGAATCTCCTGTTTTTGACTGCTTCTTTGTCTTTGTCTTTGTCTTACGTCCACCTTGTTTCTTTTTACTCTCAAGCTTCTTCCCCACCTCTCGTTCGGCAGTTATTAACTCTTCGTCAATACCATCCTCATTTTCGCCCTCCTCCGCAGTGAAATCCACCTGAAGAAGGGCATCCACAGGATTGGTTTGCTTTATCACAGATGCATGAACCTCCTGCTCCAATTTATCCAGTTCATGGAGTAATTTCTCTACATATTCGCCACTAAAATTGCCAAGTTTTTGCCGCCCATCTCGGAGACGTTCAATATTGGCGTTGTAAGTGTTTTCAGCTTCATATGCGTTGCGAGGGGGTGTAGCCAGAGAAATTCGTGTAGCCTTGATTAACTGCTGTATTTCATCTAAGCTTGACATCTCTCTCTCTCTCTCTCTCTTTTTTTTTTTTTTCTTCCTTCTTCAAAAAACTATTTTTGTGGATGTATATAAACAACTTTGTATTACTTCTGTGAACCCTCCACACCCCATCCACGAGAGCGTGCTTTAACAAAGGATAAATAACAAGAACAACAGAGACACGAAGAAAGACATATAAAGAAAAGAATTACGAAAAAAAAGTAAACACAGAGAGCAAAAAAAGAAAAAAACAAAAACAAGAAAAAAAAAAAAATACAAGTTATACAAGGGAGCAGAAAAAGAGAAAGAAAAAAACGACCTTGTATCTGTCTGAGCGTGTTTGTATACAAAAAAACAAAAAACAAAACAAAACAAAAAAAAGTTACTCATCCAAGCCTGCACAAGACAAAAATGGCAAACAGAGGAGTCACCCCTATATACAATAACATAGAGTAAGCTCTCCTATTACAATGCATGCACCGCCCTCACCATTACCACAGAGGTTAATGTAGCGGTCCTTTTGGTATCAACCCATTAGGAATGGAGCTAGTATCTTCATGAACATCACTTAACTCTGACCCCTTGCAGAGCCAACTCTCTGTTGGCAATGCATAGCCTGGTGTCTTTGATGTACGGTTGAAGCTTGAACGGCGAGCGCTGGGTGCACGTTGGGGAAAAACACGATGTGGGTTAACACCACACATTGCGAGTTGTGATGTTGGTACCATACCATTGGATACATCAATGTCATTGCCTACAACCGTTTCGTTAACATTAATGCGTGGAGCACTACCCATCAGGACCTGTGGAGTCGGAACAGAATGCCGTGCATGATCTCTTTTTCTTGTCTCATCGAGAGCGCGACGATCTTCTACTGAGTTATTAAAACTTCTCCTCCGTTCATGTGAAATATCCAGGCTTATATTTTTACTATTAGAACCCACGGGATCAACATATCGCGGGTGTACGACGTCTGCTAGTCTTTCTAGGATACCATAAAGCGAAGCTACAGAGATGACACCTTCCTTTTTTTTCTTCTTTTCCTTCGAACTAGATCTGGGGTTTTTCTCTTTGCTATGTGGTTTCGATACAGGTTTTTCCTCAGCAACCAGGTAGGGAATCTTGGGATGATCATTTAAATCACTCACTATTGAATTGCGATTCTTCTGAAATGCGAAAGCATACGATGGGCGGCGTGTTAGCCGCTTTGCAACACATTCAGCTGAATTTTGATTTAACGTTACCACTAAACACTTTGCCTCCGGTGTAGCAGACACCAATGGAATTTTTGTGGCATTCTCATCATAATTGTTACTCACAGGAAGGTTCGACTGCATACCTACTGTTTTGGAGTTTAATAAAACTCCTCCCTTATCTACTTTCACTTCTTTTTCTTCCTGTAGAACAACTGAACTTGGCTCTTTTGATGTTTCTTCAGCTTTTGTCATTGTTTTTGAATGAGCTAGGTTATCATTTATAACTTTATCAGGTATTTTTTGCTCTCGTTGTTCTTGTTGTTCTTCTTCTTTTTTCAAGCTTGTCTGTGACGCTGTGTGCACCGCTTGTGTGGAGCTGCGTCCCACATCATCCACCTCAGAGGCGTTTTCGATGTTCAGGAGCTCCTTTGCCTGTGCAATAACCTCGTGGGAATGTCTAATCATGGAATCCCAGTTGGTGACACTTTCTACTTTACCCTGTCGCGGGGAGACATTCCGCAAGCCGTCCTGTATCCCATTCACGAACATTGCGACGTGTGAGTGTTGCTTGCCGTTCGTCTCCACGGGGGTAGAGTGGCGGGAGCCGCCGGGGGAGAGCGGCGGGCGTCCACCGGAGGGGGTCGACGGCGGCGTGCAGGCGGCCGTGAGGGCCCCACCCCGCGAAGACGGGCGGAACACCCGCTGCTGCATGTGCCGCGAGTGAACAAACGTCGGGCCGTTGTGGCCGCCGAACTCCGCCACGGCGTCCTCCGCACTGGTGTCAGGGGAGGCGCTGAAGTAGTGCGCTAGATACGGGTTTTGGCGCATTGCCCCTCCCGTACCCACTACAACCTAATAGTGTAAAAAAAAAGAGGGAAGATTGGGAGGAGGAAAGAAGGGAGAAAAAAAAAAAAAAGCGTCTGTGCGTTAGTAATGTATATGTGAATGGATGTATGTACGTATGCAATGTGTGCGTGGAGATAATAGTACTGAAAAGTAGTGTCTAATGATTTAGCCAGAAATATGAGCAAGAAAAGATAACAAAAAGGAAAAAAAAAGAAAAGAAGAAAAAACAGAAGAGGAAGAACAGCAACTGCAAAAATAGCTATTGAAGCCTTCTCTCCAGTGTTTTTTTTTCTTTTACTTTGTTTGCCCAGAAAAAAAAAAGAAACAAGAAAAAAAAATTTATCTCTTTCTTTTCTTCTTTTTTCTCAGTCAAACGAATAACAAATTATTTTTTTGTTCAGCGTTTTCTTTTTTTTTTTCTTTTTTTTTTTCCCATGCTCTGCTGGACTTGTTTAGCAGATAACTTTTATGAATGCTTTTTTAAACTTAAATAAAACAAAAAAATTTTTTTTTTCTTTACGCGGTTGTCCCGTGTGCCTTGAGGACACACAATGCCTCAGTTACCTTTTCATGTAGTAGTTTCTGGTTATACAGGAGCGTAAAAGCCTCCTTGAGATCCATCTCCAAAAACATACCAGTAATCTTAGGTGCATGATCTGGGGCAATTTCAAACACCTTAATATATAGACGGTCACCCAGAGCAGCCCGTTGCTCATCCACTGTCATGGTACGTAAATCTTCAGCCGTGATGGGTGGCAGCGGTGGGGTGTCGGGTGCTACACCAGGAGAAGGCTGCGGTGTTCGCTGTGCGGTAAACGCCATGGAGGGTGTGGAGAACATATCCGGTTGTGGGTGTGGGGCCGGTGCTTGCTGAGGTGCCTGATGATGACGACCAGCACCACCACCACTGCCGCCGCGTTGGGCATTGCGTGCATTGCGGCGTTGTGGTCCTGGTCCCTGCGCAACAAACGGTGCGGGGTGCATCCGCCGCATCATCATTTGCAGACGTTGTTGGAACTGCAGGCGGAGCATGGTGTAGCGTTGATCTCGGCGTTGGGCAATGTTGACAATAAGTGGCTTGCCATTCAACATACGTCCATTCATTTCCCGAAGTGCAGCATTTGCCTGGTCAGCATTTTCAAAACTGACGAAACCGAAGCCTCTGCTGTTGCCATTGGCATCTGTCATTACACGACGGCTTCGGATTTCACCATATTCTTGGAATAACTCATGCAAGTTCTTCTCTGTGAAGTCAGGATCAAAGTTACGCACGTAAAGGTTGTTTCCAAGAGACTGACATTGCATGTATTTCTGCCTCAAGGCGATTAATCGTTCACTTCTTGGCTGAGCACGCTGCACATAAAGCTTCTCTCCTGGTGCTGTAACACCTTCAATAACCTGATCATGGAATGCTTCTATTGCCTTTACTGCATCATCATGCTTTTCAAAGTTACAGAAGGCAAATACTCGTCCATTCTTATCTTTACAGGTAGCAGAACTTGTGATACCACCAAACTTTGAAAAAAACTTCTCAATAATATCCTTATCCACAGTAGGTAACACTTGCTTGATGTAAACATTAGTGAAATTTGCAACAAGAGCAGCAAGACGAGCATTACGACGAATAAAATTAGCGACGTATAAACCGGATTTCGCCTCATCAGCATTTTCCTTGTCACCGTTCATATTGGTAATGGCATCCTTAGCCGCATCATCCTCCTTGAAGTGCACAAAACCGTATCCGCGGCTCTTACCTCCTTCATCTTCCATAACCTTGCAGGAAAGAATGTCACCGAATTTTTTAAAGATTAAACTGAGTGCACGGCTGTCCACCTCGTTCTTCAAATTCTTTACAAAAATATTACCATTACCGCTATAGCGGAGGGCGGGATCACGTTGTTGCCACATAATGCGAACACACTTTTCTCCAATACGTTTGAAATTCAATGATTCCATAGCCTTTGCTGCACTTTCAGGACTGTCAAAGTTCACATATCCATAACCCAGAGATCGCTGCGTGATAATGTCGCGGCAGACACGCACATTCAGAATAGTTCCATAGGGCTTGAAGAGCTCTACCAGCTGTGGTTCATTAATTGCAGGATCAAGGTCACCAACGTACAAAGATGCCACTTGGAGTGGTTTTGTGACGGGAACGGTGGGAGTGATTTCTTCCTGGGTAGCCGTCGTCATACTTACTTTTTTTTTGGTTTCCCTTCAGGATTAAGTACTGTTCTCTTTTCCTTTTTATTCGTTTCCTCTCCTGAGAGTGTTTATCGCCTTTAAGGCCTTTATTCCTTTCGCGTTTGTTTTCCCGTTCTTGTTTTTACTCGAATCGCGGTTAAGCCGAAGAGGGCCTTAAAGAAGAAGTAGAAAAAAAAGTGAAAGTAAGGATAGAAGCAAAATGAGGGAAAAGGATACAGATGAAACATTAGGAACACATCAAAACGCAAAAGAACAAAAAAAAAGAATTATGAATTGCGCTGCGCACTGGAACTCACACTCATATGAACACAAACATCTCCAAAAAAAAAAAAAAACGTGTCTTTCATTCTTCCTTTCTTTCACAGAGACATATGTACACAGAGAAACATATATACAGAAAATTGCATATAGATACGCAAGAAATAAATTAACGACGCGTACTCAATGCTTCTTGGAGTAAATCGAGTCGAAACTGCACTGGATCCCACGTTTGAGGAAATACAAACGTGGTATCATAACTAAATCCTTCCCGCACAACTTCCGCAATATGAAGAGCAGCGAGACAAACAAAACAACCACAGTCAGTACCATTAGTTTGAGAAGGAAAATCATGAAGAAGTTTACTTGATTTTGGAATAAAATGTTTACACATTTTACTTTTACGAAGCAATGAAAGGAAAGAGTTAGAGCATTTTTTATTACGATCATTAAGACTATCCAGACGAAAAGCTCGAAACGGCTCCTCTAAACTTTTACGTTGCAACAAGAGAATACTCCAGTGATCCCCATCCCCGTCACGCGCATCATAATCGGCGATGGGGATCACCAGCAGGCGTGCCTGACGGATCTCATCCAGTGGCCCCAGTGTGGGGTCTCGAAAGGCGTACATGGTGTGGGCGACGGTGGGGTCGAGCAGCAGAAAATCCGGCCGGGCGGCGTGGGCAGCGGCCTTCGCGAAGACGTGAAGAATAACGCCCTCCGCCACCGCCGTGTCGGCGCGGAGGGACGCCACATCATCATCGCCAAGCGCCAGTCTGCACGTATATATATATATATATATATCTATATCTATTCATATGTAAAAGAAAAGGAATAGGAAAAAAAGAAAAAAAAAATAAGAGGAAAGGAAGAACTGGGATGTAATTTCAACCCTAGGGGAACACGACTCACCTACACGCCCAAAGGAGAAAAAAATATCCTGAAAAAAAAAAAGAAGCAAAGAAAAAAAAAAATTGACACACCTCACCTACACCCTTTTATTCTCTTATCAAAACAACACACAAAGAAAAAAAAAGAGAAGGTGGGGTTACTGGTAGTAAATATATATATATAAAAAGAAAAGCAAGAAAAAAAAAAAAAAATTGCCAAAATTCTCGTGTCATGGTGATCGAAATAGAACATGTTTCCATGTTACTAGAAGCAAGAAAAAGCAAAAGATAGTAACAATTAACGATCATCCCATATGAGAAGGTTTAACGCAACTAATACTTTGTTACATCCTATTGAGTATTGCGACCCCCCGGTAAAACAGAAAATACATGTTCAATGAACGCTGCCTCTGCTCGGGAATCCATAGACTCTGCTAAACTTATTGACTCTGCACTATCCTCTACTACTCCTACTGTAGACGGTAAATTTTGTCGCCCTCTCATCCACTTCACAAAGTTTTTTTTAGTAAATATATGACGTTTTCTGGGGTCACGTGGCCAAAGCATAAGAAGTTTAATAAGGTCATCCCGTAAAGTCTCAACTGCTTCCCTAGAGAGAGAGGCTGCCGCCTCGCGTAGTTCAAAACGACGAATCTCAGTTATAAGATGTTCTCGTTCCCTTTCAAGTGCAATCTCATTCGCACGCCGCATCCACACACTACTTTTTACACAATCACCTCCAGTATTTGGTTTTACTGGCCTACTTGGGGCTGTGAAGGGACGGGTATTCTTCTCGTTAAACGTATTCTGCAGCGCAGTTAGCGGAGGTTGCCCGGTAGAGGTTGTTTCATGTCGTATAACCATATGACGACAACGGTCTCTTACTGCAAGTGAATCATCTATTTTAAATTGATCTGCATAATTCACATAATCAAATCTATGACGCCATTTTTCAACAATCTTACAATCCTCTGATGCATCATAACTCTTTCTTTGTCGATCAGCAATAGGTGGAGAAGACGGTGGATCTGTCGAGAGATCATGAATAACTCGCCAACTACGCACAGGCTCCTGTTTTAGTCGTTCTAAAAGTTTAGAGTGTGTTTCAAGAGTTTGTTTAGATGTCATGAAATTTTCACCCCGAGTTTCTTTTCTCTTTCCCCAATTTCGAACAACCTCAGATAACGATGCGTTTGAATGCATAGGAAAACGTCCCCTAGCTATTGTATTTAACAGAGAGCGGGTTGAGTTACATACAAATGAGCCACCACTTAGAGATCTCTGTTCCCCTTGACCCTTCTTTTCTTTTTCTTCTTCTCCTCCTCCTCCTCCTCCTCCTCCTCCCCAATACGGTTCTTCCGCCTCTTCTTGTTCCTGTTCCTGTTCCCACATCTGCAACGCTCCTTTTTCCTCCGACTGTGGTGGAACCACAGTGGAAGTCTCGGTAGATAAGTTTTGCACTGCTCCTCCTCCTGTTCCTGTTCCTCCCGCCACTACCGGAGCCATAGTAGCAGTAGTACTACTAGTTGTTGTTGCGGTTGTAGGACCTTCTTTCGAAGGAGACGCACTCCTTAAACGCGGTCTTCGCTTTTTTGCTACTCCTTCTTCGATAGCACGTGCCAAATTTTTAAGATACTGTTGACATTCTGTGCTCTGTGGAATCTCCCTATTTTTTACACGCATTGGAACAGGTGGTGGTAGTGATGGCTGTGCGTGTTCCATGAGGGCCTTCATGAGATTCTGATCATCAACGTATGCTACATGTCGGTGTTCCACTGCATCTCTGAGAATGTCTGCAGTGTGATGCTCCCACCGGCCGGGCAAAATTGAATTCCCTGCGAAAGGGTCCAAGTTCGCTGCAGAGGCTCCCATCACTGCCCGCAAACGTCCAGGGCCCGATAGCGCCCGTACACCACCATCCGATAATGAGGCATTCATCTTAATAAACTATTTCCAATAGGAAAGGAATACAGGAAGCAAAGAAACACAGTAGATAGAGAGAGAGAGAGAGAGAGAGATAGAGAGAGAGAAAAAAAAAAAGAAACAGCATCATTCAATGAAGCAGAAGAGATCAAAACACATGTCTCCAAAGACCTTTTACTTCTTTTTTCTATTCTTTTTTTTTCCAGTTGTGACGACATTTTCTTCTCTTTAATCTTTTTTTTTTCTTTTCCTTTTTCTCTCTTTCCACTCCGCAAGGATTACAAGACGGAACCCTCCACGTGATGTGCCATCCCACTCTGCTGCAGTGCGGCACAGTAACGCAGTACGGTCTCTGCGTGATTAGTTTCACTCTCCGCCGTGGCCAGCGCCACCACCTCAAACGAACGGTGTGGATGTGATTCTTGTTGTATTGACTTCCACCTATCCGCTGCGGCTTCAGCGCAGAGAATCGCATTGCCAAGTACTTCCGCAGCGGCTCTGCGAATATCCATAGAAGTTTGTTGGAGTCCCACCACACGACATGCAGCCTCTGATAACTCTTCAGTGATATTTGTTGGGGTTGCTCCTACTGTTCCTACTGATGATGATGATGATGTTTCCTCCGTTGGGAGTAATTTCAATAGTAAAGCCTTCTCAAAAGGAGAAACAACATCAGGACATGATACCTTTAACATCTCAGACCAAACATAGATGTTTTCTATCATAGCAGCCAAAGTAATCGCCGACATTATGGAGCAAGATTCGATAGTAACACAAGGACTTTTAAGATAATCTATTAAGGCTAAACGAATATCTTCATTTTCTGATACATTATCAAATCCTACAGTACTTAACCCAGTAATGCAATTTACAAATTGATTTAAATCCTTTTCTTGTGAGTTTCGAGCATATTCCACAAAGTGTTGACGAGCTTCTATCACCATAGCTTTAAAGAGTAATTCATCTTGATCCCGTATAGAGATTGCAGTGGATGTGAGAAGTGAAGCGTAACTACAACGTCCTTTTAAAGAAAGTTGTACATCAACAGGAAAACACTTTTCACGACAAAGTACGACGAGTCCTGAAAGGGCTGCGTACCCACAATAATCAAGTGCTTCTAGTAACTCAACTAGTTGTTCTGCAATCCTGTCATCTCTGTTACCATTACTACTATTACTATCACTACTGTTATTAATATCACTATTATCCGATTCTTTCTCTTTAGTCAAAGAATTAGTTACGATGGTGACGTGTGAAGCTGCTGACTGTAATAACACTTGTGAAACCTTTGAATTCAATAATGTTGATAATGCCTTTAGAATTCTTGTTACTTGTGTAATACTACAATCTTGAGTCATCATCAATCGCAGCAACACCATTTCTACTTGTTTAAAAGATGATGGTAAAAAATTACACGCTGCAAGACCTTCTACTAGATCCACAACTTCTACCACCGTGCGTTTCTGCTGCATGGCAGCCCCAATAGCGGTATCGAGTACAGCCATTAATCGATTAAAACGAGAATGAAGTATTCCTGTTGGTGTTTCACTTTGCATGCGTGCTAATAATGGTAAGAGTCTATTAACTTCACTGAGAGTAACAGAGACTTTACTTGCTGCTGCTTTTTGTGATAAGTGTTGTACTAAATCTAAGAGTAGTGTATTTCCACTGGAGTGATTTTCACTTACTTCTAATCTTTCTACAAGTTCTGCGAGTACTGCAGATGATTTCGCACCGAGTTTTACACGTCGTAGTCCCTGAGCACTTCGAATGCCTAAATTATAATGAATAAGCGTATCCTTATTGGTTCGTTCCGCATGTTTTTGCATTTCCACAATTGGAATAAAACCATCTTCACTCATAATTTGAGTTCGGGGTCCATCTAAGCGGTATAATAGATATTTACAACGTGCTAAAGCCATTTGTGAGAGTTGTTGATATTTAGCCATAAAAGATACCTCTTCCTCATTCTTTTTTGGTTCTGTTCGTGTAAAGAAGGCAGTATTTCGTTCTTTAATTTCCACACAAAAACGCATAATGGTACAAAGTTCACTTTCACCTACATTTTCCAATGCATTCTTTTCTCCAAATGCTTCTACACTCATCAATCGAGAGAGGCCTTGCATAACTTCCCGTTGATCCACCACTCCAGAAGCATTAGAGAAACCATATACACTACTATCATTCTCAGTAACACTCATTAAACGAATAGCTCCAAATACGGTCTGAACAAAAGGCATATTGGTAAGAATACATTTTCCATTACTTAAATCATCGGTAGCGACAGCATCTGTACTAGTACTACTACTAATACTAATAGTAGAAGGAATATCATTCATCTTCTCTTGTTCTACCCCAAAGAAGGACGAGAATGGAACACCATGATTACAACATAATGCGGCACATGTGATAAACCTTTCCAGTGCTGTAGAAGTACTATTAGTAGTATTAATAGTATTAGTATTATTAGTAGTATTGCTCATATCACGGAATAACGTAGGATCATTTCGTGCGTAACGTGCCACAACTTCCACTTCACGATGAAGATTAAGCGGTAGAAGTTCCTCCTTCTCCACAACATCTGCCGGGTGTACTTTACGCACACAAAATGTCGAAGCTGCCTCAAGCCATTGAAGTGCATTCAACATTTCACCAACACTCAATAATGCCCCATCGGCAGTATTCATTGCCTCTTCTTCATCCGGCCAAATGATATGCCGTACATCTTCAAAGCGATGGCGTATAGCCAACCAGTGACGTTTTCGCTTTAGTCGTCGATCATAATGTTCATAATCGGGTCCCACGTTAAGTTCCCCCGGCGAGGGAGTGTTCTTCATTCCAGTGGTATCCATCAAAACGTATTCTTTACAAAAGGAAACAAATGCCTCACACAACTCCACAACCGAACGTTCCTCCGGATTCACTTGCAGACAATCATCCACTGCCGATGGCATATCATCTTCCATATCTCCCAAATCACAGAAACTCGTATCCATTTCTTTCCATGAACCTGAGGCGTTGGTTAAATTCACCGGTGGATGTGTGATCTCTGCGAGTGGAATGGAAAAGGAAAATGTCCGTCCCTTCTTGTTTGTGTACGTCACTTTCGTTGTGCCTGGAATGCGGCGCGGCACACCGTCGGTGACGCCTTGTTTCACCTGCGGGTGTTTGCCGAGCGGCCGACTGAAGCCGCCCCTCGTGCTGCGGCCGCCAATTGTGATGGACCGCACCGCCGGCAGCACCGCAGGGGACCGCAGCACTCGAATCATTCAGCCTCCCAGTGTCACTCCCCAGAGACACCCCACTCTAATTGTAAAGATATATTATATATATTATATATATATATATATATATATATATATAGAGAGAGAGAGAGAGAGAGAGAGAGAGAAAAGAAGAAGAAGGAATAAAAAGTGATGTTTTGTAGTGAAAAATGGAAATATATGGTTTATTTTTTCTTTTCTACAGACCGCAAAGAACAACTCCAAAGATTCACTCTGGACGTGTACAATACAAACTTACAACTATATAGGTACTAAACGGAGAAAAACAAAACAAAAAAAAAAACAACGGGCAAAACACACACACACACACGTGTCAAACAATAGTAAACACATGAGCAGCAATTCGTACACATAAGATTCTCATATATATACATATCCATATATGAGAAAAAAAAAAAACACAATAAACGACACGACTGAGGCAAAGGAGTCTTCTTCTTCTTTGCAACAAAAACACAGCAGTAATAAAGTGGCGTGGCAGTTTTATCACACTAGGTGACGTTTACGCACAGCTGAAAAAAAGAAAAAACAAAACAAAAACAAAGCAAAACAAAAAAGGAAAAGAAGATATACAACTGGAATAAAAAAAAAAAGAGGGGAAGGGGGAGGAGGGTGAGAATAATAATGAGGGGAGACCCGACTCCCCATCAACTACATAGAAATGGAAAACGTAATAATAATAATAATAATAATAATAATAATAATAATAATAATAATAATAATAATAATAATAATAATAAAGACATAATAATAAAAAAAAAAAACAGTTTTCATAGAGAAAAAAAAAAATTGACGTACACTCTTACTTTTTCTTTTCCTTTTTTTTTTTTTAAATCTTAGGCAACGAGGAGAGCATATTAATAAGATCTTGTGTCCCCGTGGCATTCTCCGTCCCAATATTAAAAAAATTCTCTGACACTGTATGTGCTAACTTCATCGGCGTGGAGGTATTGCTTAAGTGAGGGAGCGTATTTTCTAATCTTAATTCTAACGTTTTTGCTTTATCAAGCTCAAAACGCATGCGTCGAGCCTTTTTCTCAGACTCACGTAAAGTTTTGAAATAAGGATGCCGCAATGCATCCTTTGCCGTTCCCCGTTGTTCTTCATTATATGTTAGCAACTTTGTCAAGAGATCTAAAGCTTCTCGTGAAGCATTTGGGAGAAGTTTTGCTAATCCGGTACCTTGTTTCTGTGGAAACTCAAAGTCCATATGTGTACCGGAGCTCTTTAACTTGTTTAATATCTCAGGAGGAGGAGTGCCGAGTATATTATGGATTTTGTGAATCTGATCCAATTCATTGCTACCAGGAAAAAGAGGAAATAAAGCCATAATCTCAAAAAAGACACAACCAGCACTCCACAAATCCATTTTATAGGAATAGTATCCATCTGTTAAGAGACACTCCGGGGCACGATACCAACGGGTGGAGGTATACTCCGTTAAGGGTTGTCTAGAGTACACACCTTTGCAGGATCCGAAATCAGCAAGTTTAAGTGTGCCATCATCGTTTACAAGTAAGTTTTCAGGCTTTATATCACGATGAAATAACCCTGTACGATGGGCATGATCAAGTCCTTTTAATAACTGATACATGTAACTTCGAATTCTTTCTTCACTAAGGTATTGTCGACGTCCTTTTATGAGTTCATATAGATTCATATCCATAAATTCAAACACTAACGCCAGACGTCCGGTTGATCTATCAAACATTACTTCAATAAGTTCTACAATGTTAGGATGAGGCTGTAAACGTCGTACAGCCTGAATTTCTCGCAGACGATTAACTTGTTCTTTTGACTTGAAGGGTTTCTTCATGCATTTTATAGCTACAAGTCGATTAGTTTCTATGTTCTGAGCCTTCAATACTTCACTAAATGTTCCCTCACCTTTCTTGCCCAGTATCTTGTATTTTTGCATTATAACTGCAATCCTTACTTCGTCAATCCAAATATATATATATATATATATATATATAACTATAATCTATTCGCTCGCACAGATCTTTACGGGTTCAGAAGGGTGTGCAGACTAGAATACAAACAGCAAAATATATAATAAAGCTAAGTACGGTGATAGTGAAAATCACACGTGCAAACAATTCTTGTGTGTCTGTGTGTGTGTGTGTTTTTATGATCAAAAACAATAGTAAAGAAACAAAATGACAAGATGTCGGAGATGGTGGTGGTGATTAGTAGTAGTAGTAGTAGTAGTAGGGGCAATAGAGAGAATTCCTTTTCCCTCTCACAGTGTGAGGAACAGCACTTTGGAAATGCGCCAACAGACACGAACCACCACACCCCCTATTTTCTTATCCTCTTGTGTATTGGGGAACGTACACCTAAAGCAAAGCGCTTCTATCAATTATAAACAAGAAAAGAAAAGAAAAGAGAAAGAGAAGGATGTGTTAAAGAGAGAAAAAGGGCTGAGGAAAAAAAGGAAATAAAATAAATAGATGTGATGTACCTCTGCAGGAAAACACCATTCCATCTCATTAGAGATAAGAATTACAGGAAGGCAAAGTAATGCCGGAAGGAAGAAGCAGAAGATA